GTGCAGTGCATTGTGCAAAACATAGGGTATATAAGGGAAAATAATCTTCAGTGAAGTCATAAAATGTCGTGTAATAATACATTTTATGTCAAGTCGTGGACTCGCGTGTCCCTCGCACGTGCTGTCTTACAGCATAAGTGAATTAATGGTATATATGTACATGATAATATCACAAAGGTTTCTCTCTGATGAAATTCCACCAGGTTTTCAGAGAGGCAGTGAAAGCTGCAGTGGCATACAAGCAGAACACGACTGATTTCCTCGACCAAGTCATGCAGGAACTGGAGGTGGGCCGTGGTGAACGATGTCGTTCAGGAGGCAATGCAGTTAAACCTGGCATACAATGTTTAAATTGTGCTTGTACTACCTGCATTAGAGAGCCTTGGGGGCCATTAGTAGTGGCCTTGTGCGTTCCAACTCCGACAACTCAGCCCTCCCACACGGGCGCCCTGCTATGTAATGTGCATATGCATTCCTCCACTTGGCATCTACACAGGTCTTGGTTTATGAGTGCCCCTGTTAGCTATTCTGTACACCTACAAACAGACAAAAAAGTGCAAGCTCCAAGGAATTCCTTCATGATTATCAGTTTACACTGCCACACACCTGTGTGTGTGTGAGTGTGTGTGTGAGTGTGTAGTACTGTACAATAGTTCACAATAGTTCACAATAGTTCACAAATTGTCTGGTCGTACTGAGTATCTGTACTTTCGTGAATTTTGTTAACTATGATTTCCCCCCCTGTCTCAGAGAATGGATGATCTCTCATCAGTTCAGCCAGTGGAGCCTCGCGATCCCTCCTCCTCTTCCTCCCACCCTCACCCTCCTCCTCCTGCCCCACCTCACCACTCTTCCTCCACTACCAGTAGTGAGGATGGTGAAAACCATGAACACAGCTAACACACTACATCACACCACCACATGTCTATGTTGTACACTCAATTATTTTGATGACGACGCCATAATACTGCACCATCCCCCCAATACCTGTCTTACCTGTCCCTATGTGTACAATGGAGGAAACCCTTCATTGTACGTCTAAAATAAAAGACACGCAAAAGACCGCAGTTCCAGGTTGAGTTGTATTGTCTTCACGTTTGTTGCTGTGGACTGTCAGCACAAGAGACATGTGCCTCCTCTAGCTCCACATGGTCTACTTGCCCACTGACAAACAACTAGCGCACGCTTACAGTAGATAAAGGTTGCACAATGTTTCATTAATGCAGTGGTGCTCAGCAGTCTGCAGTACAGATTGACGAAATGAAGGAGTGTGCGTGCCGTAACCATAATACCAGAAATGAGCAATAATACCGTGTACAGTTGCGATGGTGTTTAAAATGAAGCTGATGACTTGGTGAAGTGACTGCAGGAGTGCAGGATTTGAACGACATTGGTGCACAAATAAGACACATTACTACATACAATACGTCTGCAAGCAGAGAGAGAAAAACAAAACGGGCGGTGGAGTGATTTTTGAAGTAGACAACAAAAAAATAAATATAATGATCCTTTTACATGTACCACGCACATGCGTCTGCAAGCAGAAACAAAACCAAATAATCTCTTTCACACACTCTGAGATCGTCTATTAGTCCTCCATCGAAAGACAAAGAGAGATGAGGATAAGTGACCGAGAGAAAGGGAGAAGAATGGAGGTAAAGAAAGAGAGAGGAAGAGGAGGGGAGGAGTTAGTGTGTATAGACGTATTGGACATAGCCAATCGGTTGCCGGCAGATGGGGCACTTGACCAGTCTCTTGGCACAGCGGTAGCACGACACGTGGTGACCACACGGACAGAAAACGGCCGAAATCCTCGAGCACATGCAGACCTGACAGAGTCGCTCGTCCTGAATGTTCATCAGTAACTCACGCAGTTTCTTGGACTGAGTCTGATTCAGTCTGTTCAGGCTGGAGGGGGAGTGGGTCGCGACAATCACTGAGGATTTCGTGGTGGTGCAGCCGTCCGTGAACGACGAAGACGATAGGGAGGTGTGGTGACGAGGGGAGGAGTGTGAGGAGGTGAGGATGGGGTGTCTCGGAGTCGCAGGAGTGGAGGTGTGGCTCAACGAGGAGGTCTCTGGCCAGATTGTAGCTGCTGGTGGAGAGGCCCCAGTAGAATTTGTTGCTGTCCACCGCATCCAGCTGGGAGGACGAGTCATCACTCTCTCTATTGCAGGAGAGAGAGAATATAATACATAGTTTCGTGCCTTTCTACAGTAATTGTGGGTGGAGGATTTGGGCACAAGACTAATATTTTTTCACAGCTGCAAATGTACCAGAACCATAAATATCTCTCAGTATAATAAAGCCTCGTCAGTTGTAGTGGTCGGTGGGGAACAACATACAGACAAACAGACTCTATGATTGCCCATTACAGAGGGTTGAACTCACATGGTGACAGTGGCATGAGCAGACTCGCTGCTAGCTCCGTCTCCCTCCCTCTCGACCTCCCCACCTCTCTCCTGGCCCCTGGCCCTCTCCCCCTGCACCTGGTGGAGCAGCTGCCAGGCGTGGCTGTAAACGCCTCGTAGCTTCTGTCGGACTAATGTCAAGTAGGACTCTTTCTCGTATCTCTTTCTCTTCCATTTCTCTCCGCAGTAGCACACTCCTATGTATATACAGAGAGAGAAGTAAACAACCATGCTCAGAGTTTAACATGACGTTTCTCGTGCTCGTGATTCATAAGTTGAGAGATATACACAAACACCCACAATAGCCACGAAGCAGAACCTGAAAGAGTTTGCATGTTGGAAGTGACAAACAGTGTTTATGGGCAAGGCCATATTAGGATGTGATGAATGTTTTCTCTACAGTAGTTCCAACTTAGCTCTGGCACAACACTGTGTTTTTCCTACGGAAGACTACCATGGCAGAGAGAGGGAGCGAGTTTCACTACACCAGCATAGAGCTGCTCAAATCCCAGCATCTGGGAAGTGGATCATACGGAGCAGTGTGCAGGGCAAACTGTGACGGGCTACTCTGTGCAGCCAAGGTAGTGCATCCGACTCTGTTTGACCTCAGTGACCCTGGAGCTAGCTCCTACCTCGCAAACTTCATCAAAGAGTGTCGGCTGCTGAGTCTAGTCAGACACCCAAACATAGTCCAGTATTTGGGAGTTTGCCATGACCCCGACACACGGCTACCTGTGCTACTAATGGAGTTTTGCAACGAGAATCTCTCAGTGTTTCTGGAGCGATCCCCAGGACCGCTGTCTCACGATGTTCAGGTGAGCATCGCCCACGACATAGCACTGGCTCTGGTCTACCTACACGCCAATGGTCTCATCCACAGAGACCTCACGGGGAACAATGTCCTCGTGGACGATGGCCCGCGAGCAAAGATCACCGATTTCGGGATGTCGAAGCTCGTTTCTGCAAATCGCCACATGTCGAGTTTGACGCAATGTCCTGGCAACATGCTCTACATGGCACCAGAAGCCGTGGACGACACGAAATGCTACACTACAAAGCTCGACATTTTTTCAGTCGGCGTGATAATCGTCCAGATAATCACCAGGGAGTTCCCCGACCCAGCCAAGCGACTCCGTCAGCTGTTTCTCCCACAGTTCAGCGAGCCACTCCTGCAGGTTGTTCCCGAGACCGAACGACGCTGGAACCACTTACGGCTGATATCCGATTCCCACCCTCTGAAACATGTGGCTCTGCACTGCCTGGGGCAGAAGGAACAGCAGCGTCCCTCGGCTCTGGAACTTGGCGAGAGGCTGTCTGTTCTAAACCATTCTTCTCAGAGTATCTGTATCGCTGAGAGAAAGAGTGATGTTCAGCAACTTCGAGAAGAGAGAATCTTGACAGAGACAAAAGCCAAGGAAACCCAACTGTATAAGGCTCCAAAAGGGCAACTACAAACAACAGTTGACACGCTACAAAAAGAACTTGAAGCGAAAGCAATGATTTCCCCAAACCCCCACAAAGAAAAAGGCAACAGAGCTACAGTAGGCCAGAACGAGGCAGCTGAGAGTCCAGAGAGAGAGCTCCTAAGGCTTCGGGAGCAACTAGAGCAGAGAGATGCTACCATATCTTACCTCCAGAGAACAGCATCAGTAGAAAAAGATGGAGAGATTCTACAACAGCAAAGGAAACATAGCAGAAGTGAAGTAGACGCTCCCAAGGCAACTATCAAGACAAGCACAGCGGAGGTGGGTGGAATGTGGTGGAAGAAGTAGAAAAAGCGCCGGAGAAAATGTGTCGAGGATCTGCGGTGGTGCATGGGGACAAAGCCTACTTCAGACCAGCTAGTTCCCAGAGAGTCTACTCCTACCAGCACCCTCTAGGGAGGTGGTCTTTGCTATCCGAAAACCCCCACGAGAGCTTTTCACTGGCAGTTGTGCACGGCTCTCTTACCAGTGTGGGAGGCTGGGATAAAACCTTTACTGGCTCCCTGCTGAGTCTCATAGAAGAAAAGAGGAGAGGAAGGAAGTAGAGGAGAAGGGGGGAGGTGGGTGAAGCTATACCCTCCAATGCCCACCCCTCGAAGATCAACCTCTTGTTTCACGACGGACAAATCCCTAATTGCGTTGGGAGGCTATGGGGTTGGAGGCGACCTGGACAGTGTTGAACTAATGAACACCGAGATTAAACAGTGGAGCAAGTGTTGCGCTCTGCCGCAGAAATGCTCTCAGTTGTCCGGTACACTCCATGCCAACGTGCTGTACCTCACGGGAGGCTATCATTTGGATTCACCCTCAAGATCCGTACTTTCCATCCTCCGTTCGCGATCTCAAAACTTCCAACTCGCTCGGATCAAAACTGAGACGGAGCATTTCTCTCGCCGTCGCAGTGGCTGAAAGAAATCCGAAGCCTCCCGGTGGCACATTCGACTCTCGTCTCGTTTCGTGGGGAGCTCCTGTCAATTGGCGGTGAGATTAAACCTCAGACTCCTACTAACAGTATCTACAGATATGACTCTCTGGGGGACTCGTGGGAGATTGTCGGTCAAGCAGGTGACACGGAGAGGTCGTGGTGTTTCGCAGTCAGTTTGTCTGGGGACGAGCTACTGATGGTAGTTGGAGGGTGCTCCAAGGATTCATTGTCATGATAATGTCGACATTGTCAGTCACAGTAAAAACTCTATATATGTATTTATGTATGTCATGTATATCCACGATCTTTGTACACTGTACCCTATTCAGAAGCTGTCAACACGATCTACATACCACGTTATTCACAAACAGCAGCTACACACAATGCACACACAATAACAATTCTGCAGAGCCATAGTAGCTACACACCCCTTCGTCAGCTAAGGTGTCTGACGCACGCAAAGCCTAATGCACACGCCTTTTAAAACTTAAACTTGTGCTGTGTAATTGGGGGGCCATCCTTGCGTGAATTGCATAAGAGAAACTCTCCCTGGAAAAAGTTTGTGAATGCGGTCACCCAGCATGCCATATACGAGGAATTGTTTCATTCATTAGCAAATTGAGCCTGTTTACTTTTAGTGGTTCATGTATGTGCAAAGTATGTACACATTCTGTTAGCTACATATGAACTCACTTGCAGATTCTGCGGAGACGGTGGGAGTGAGTGTCAGAGTGACTCCGGACCTCGGGGAGCACGGTGGCCTGGTAGAAGAAGACCTGCTGCTCCGTGGCCTCGCGGAACATGTGTCGAGCCACGTGCTTGTTCCTCACGACCACTCGGAGTTTCTTGTCCACCGAGGAGCCGTCTTCGTCGCGAGAGTGGTACGTGAGACCAAAGAACGTGCTGCCAAAGGATACCTGTGTCATGGAGTAGTAGGGGATCCTGTGGATGGGGGAAGGAGAAAACGAATCTACATGTATGCATGATCTATATTGTACATATGCATGAATTGCAGGGGTTTTGCCAGTAGTTCAATTCATTTACATAGTGCAGGATTTGAGAGGTTGTTGACGGAAGAGGTTAGAGTCAATGTGTTATTTGGTTTTTACATCTTGTGTTTAGGCCGTGCATGGTGTTCATAAAAAGAGGATGCTATAATTCTGACCTACACAAACGAGGGATTAGGAAGGCTCTCACTTGTTGATGGTGGCGTTGTTGGAGTCAATGATGTGAATGTGTCGCGAACCGACGTTGATGCTGACGTGTTTGTCCTCGTAGTAGCCACGGTAACTGTTTATCCCACATTCCAGATCGCCGACCTTCTCCAGATACTTGTCTACTGCCACATGCTTACTCGTTCCTGCACCGGACAGATGTCATACTCTAAGTACAGTATTTACAAGCAACAAGACATGTAGTACATACGTACTTGCAAAGACGCATATTCCATGGTATATACTACATGATCAATATACATTACTGCAGATGCACCAATGCTTAATTGCACAGTACTGCACATACGCACAACCAAGTTGTTGAAGAGAACATTATAGGCATATTGTGTATGACTCAACAAAACTTGGTAACGAGGTAGAAAGGCAACGCAAGGCAAACAAGTCAACCACCTACACCCAGGACAGCTCTTTCTTTTCAGAGAAAAGAAGAAGAGCAGCCCTGGGTGGGATTCGAACCCACACACTCTGCCGTCTAGGCGAGCGCTCTACCAACTGAGCTACCAGGGCAACTCAGCTGGTAGGGGTTCGAATCTACAACACAACACAACACAACACAACACAAGGCAAACCTCAAACCACTGTGCTATGGCAGTATGTACATGTTAGCAAATTATTAGCTTTAATGTCAGGCAAGAATTGTTGATGGGACTTGTACATGTACTTCCATAACGCCAAATTTTCTGTACACACAGCTGTATAGATCTTTACGTAACTAAGTGGTGAACATGCCCATGGTGGGTTGTACTGAAAAACATGTGTATAGCTTACTAGCTCAAGAAGAGGCAATAAAAAAAATCTGACAAACAACACACACAGAGGTATTGCACAGTTCATCATACCGACGAGTTTCTTGTGTTCCTGGAGATCTGGTACGCGATACCTTCGCTCCAGTCGGGGAAATATGGAGGATAGACAAGAGCCTGTGAGTGAAGCCGAGACTCCCTATAGCTGCCCAGCTCTGCCTGAGCTATGAGGGCTCCAACTACCGGCTTGAGGTCGCGAGGTACCACCAGTTTGCCACGCTGAACTCTGTGTCTGAGGTCTGTGAAGAATGCTTGTCTGGGTGTGTGGGGGGGGAGGACACAGAGTGAAGAAAAACAAAAGGTGAACTGAAGTTGTGGTGAATAAATGTCAGTAAGAAAACTTATTCCCCCAACTGATTGGACATGGAAATTTAGTGTCGTTGAGTGCTGTATGTGCTGTGTGTAGCCGCTAACAATTGGGTTTAAAAAACAAACACATGTGCCGTGTACTATTCTAACTTGGTGGAGGGTTGCTGCAGAGGATGGAGTCAGTGAAAAACTTGACGCGGAAGGCCAGTCTGTACGGCTGGTTGGTCCTCTTCAGCTGTCGTCTGAGGTTGAGTCGAGTGTTGACCCACGCCTCGCACCCCGCCAGCCGGTCAGCGTACTTGAGACCGAAATAGTCCACTTCCACTATCCCTAGAACCTCACACATCTGCAGGTCACATAGCAAATCATTGGCTTCAATAGTAATCATGGTGGTGTCTGATTATCGGTGGCTTGCCAGTATAATAAATATAAGCAAGGAATAAAAGGGATTATTCAACTTATCAAGACCCAAACGGTACACGATGAAAAATTAGCTGGTGAAACAGTTTGTATGTTCAATGTAAAACATGTCACACTGTTGGCTGACATTCTCTATAGAACCTTTATTAAAATATATGTGGATTGTAGAAAAGGATACCTTTTTGAGCGCCACTCTTAAGTGTCCATTGTTGAGCCTATGTGATTGGTTTGCATTATGGTATGGACACCCCTGTGTACATGCGCATACAAACATACTGTCTCACAATTGTAATTACTACTTATATAATTGGTTTTCCGATCAACCTATCATTGCCGATCCATAGGAAAATGAGGTAGAGCAAAGTTATACGGTTCACTAGTTTAAATGAACACAATGTTTCCTCCTTTAACACTTAACCAGCCATGGATAAAATCCTACTTATTTAAGCAGATCCATGGCGTCCAAAGGGTTAAAACCCATTGATACATACATAGATACATGGATGAAGACGGAAGAAGCACATGCAAATCTTCCTTCAAGGTAACCTTCTTTTGTATCAAACAATACACCTGTACAAAGGACGTAATGATGTACATACAGTATGTCCTCTACATATGTCGTATGTCGTACACTGCAATATATTGATTCATTGTAGTTCACGTCACTGTCACTGTACAATACATTACTTCAGGCTTCTTGGTTCTCTTGACATGTGGCACTGTTCTAATATACGTGATTCTAGAAAACACGCGCGAAATATTGAACTGCTTGGGCTTGCGCCAACATTCATTCTAGTATACAGTATGTATTGAAGTAGTTACAATCACATAGCTACATTGGAACTCTCTGGGGAATTGGTTATACTAAAGCACAATTGGATATTTATAGAGGGGAGTTGTGATGTCATAGGCATGAAATATAATATGAAGGGGAACTGGGTTTCATACTCTAGGGTCCTGCAGGGTTTCTAGTTAAGAATCATTATGTGTACATACAAGAACTGAATGTATGTATGTATGCAGAAGCTAAGTATGTACGTAGCAACAGTAGGAATGGTTCACTTCTGATATTGATGCTACACAATTAGTATTCAATCAGCTCTACAAGACGAGTGAAGGAAATTGTAGTGTTTAAATACATACATAAATGGACTACATTGTGTATTACACTAATGACAATAGCAAAAGCTCTTGTATTAGTCAAACCTTAATGGGTGTATGTAGCCATTGGGCCTAAAAAAATATTTGCTCCGCACATGCACACACAGTTGCTATGTTGGTTTATAGTAGGTGGATGCCTTTTATATTACACCAACCAAGTCAGTACAAGCTACTTATCTACATCTTTGCAGAAAACTAGCTATAATTATGTAGCAATAGACAATGTTGCCATAATGTAATGTGGGTGCATGTAGCTAACCCAAAACACGAGTTCTACAAGTGAACATGGTGTGAGATTGGTCGCTCTAAACAGCTGTTCCTACAAATCTAGGAACTACGCTGTGCAACAATTGAACATCACACAACACAGTCGTCGATCGGCTGGACACACTATTACTGCACTATGAACGTTGTACACAATCTTATTCCGAAGTTACCATGTAAAAATATCTAAGTGACGCTTCAAGTGACACACTGCATAATATTTCTCCTTGTCACAACCACCTATTGGATACTTGTTTCAGTAAAGTCCCAGCGGTATATCAGAATAGAAAAGGATGCTGCAAGTACACAGCTACTTGTGCAAAAATTATCTTGCAACTGTAGCTAGCTTTTTTCCAACACGGAGAAGAACGCCATAGCTACAATCAGTAGCCAGCTTAGCGCTGCCGCCACACAGACGGACCTTTGCGAGGCAGTCGAATCCCTTGCAGTCTTCTCTCAGCTCCATGAAGAAGGCGGAGCAGTCAGGGAGGACCACCGTCACGGGGACCGTCTTCCAGCGACGCCCGCTGCTGCTACTGCTGCTCAGCCGCCGGCTGTCCCTGCTCTCTCTCATCAGTCCAGCCGTGCTTGCCTCGCTCTCCGCCACACCGAGTCGCTCAGAGTCCCGGGAAGACATTACGTGCGCTGGATCAATAGCTAGTGAGGTATAGTGCTCTTCTTGTTGCTTCTGCCTCTTCGGTCAGTCGTCCGTCGCGTCCGTCCATGCGCAGCGTCGCGTCGGAAGAGTCGCTGTCGCGGCCCGCGGCGGGTTCATCAAAAATTCAAACTAACGCGGGCGGGCGCGCGCCGTAAACGTTATGCGCGCGCGCGCATGATCAACTATTACATACTTTACATACTGGACGTGTTTAACGTTTGTGTGTGACACTCGATCTAGTGGGCAAATATAGAGAGCTTGACAAGAAGTTATACATGCAGGAGGAGCATGGGGATGGGTTGGAAATCATAGCTATATCTATGTCTGGATATTTTATGTTGAATCAATCCTACATTGACAAGACACTCTGACAATCAAACAATCCAGACTCCAAGCATTTAGCGAGAGTAGAACTGTCTAGTTAAGAAATGCAGCCGCTGTCTAACAGCTAATAGGAGTCTCATAATCCTGGGGTGTGCCTTGTCTATAATTGGCAGGGTTTCCCCTCCTCCACGTACATGAGAGAGGAGTGGGATTGTACTGAAGGCTGGAGGAAGGGTGGAGCCCCGAGCATGCTGAGGGAGGACCATCAAACTCATTCACGTAACCATCGGAAACTGCTGAGAGTCGATGTTCTTTTCTTGTTGTAGCCGAGGAAAGAAGTTGATCGGGACTGCTGGCCACATGGACCCGGGGTGTTGGTGTGGAGCATGCAGTACTGACTGAGGGAGGACCATCAAACTCATTCACGTAACCATCGGAAACTGCTGAGAGTCGATATTCTTTTCTTGTTGTAGCCGAGGAAATAAGTTGTGACGAGAACAGATGATCGGGACTGCTGGCCACATGGACCCGGGGTGTTGGTGTGGGGTAAACTTTCTTCGGGGGCTTGGGAGGAGATTTTGGGGGAGGTTTACTCTGTTTGGGGGGTCGACGTGGAAAAGTTGGAGATGGAGTACCCCTGTGTGTTTTAGTACACTGCTGTCCCGTGCAGGACCAATTGCCTCCCTCTTCTCCCTGTCCATCTTGCCCCACACTGGAGCAAAGGTTGCTAGGATCCAGTCTGTCATACTCTTCTGAAGGCCCCTCCTCTTTTCTCGGGAAATTCATTACATCATCGTACTGGTGGGGTGGCTCCGTCGAGGAAGGTGGCGTCATTACAGTGGTTACACTATAGGACGGGTTCGTAGTGATTTCAAAACGTGACGAAGAAGACTGTGGGTTCTCCTTTAATATTGGACTGGCTCTCCGGCCAAAGTTGGAAGAAAGCTGCAACACATGATTTCTTGTTGGTGGCCAATGATCAATCCCTCGCACACACCGAGCAGATCTCCTTCTTCTCTTTCTCAACCGTCGGATTTCAACTATGCACACTACATAGGTCAGAATAACACACACTACGAGTCCTCCACAGGCACCAGCGAGAATTATGATTCCTCTCTGCTCTCTTTCACATGTGAGATTATCCTGCTCATTGTATGTCACAGTGGTGCTGTTGACGAGGTTTGAAGGGAGTGGTAGAAGGAGAGACTTGTTTGCAGCCAGAATTTTGCTGGAATCTGCAAAATGAGTTAGACACTTTGTAAAAATGATAAACAAGACAATTGCACACTGTTGGATAGCTACATATAAGAAAACCACAGCATGCAGGCCAACTGCACCATACGGATACCTTTACACTTATGAGATTAGAGATAATACTCACTTTGTGACTGGGCGGTGGTGAGATGAGCCAACCAGAAGACTACCAATATTACGACTGACAAACCAGCATTCATTCTCAGAGTAGTCAGATTCCACAAAACTACAAAATTTAATACGTTTCTGCAAGCTTAGCTGTTTGAAGAGCAACTGAATCAGGAGTCCAGGACTAGCTATAAAGTCAGTTTTTGATGCAAATGGCACAATGCACACAGTGTCAAATGATTACCATGTTAGTCCTATAAAACTGAGTGCTGGTCGTGAAACAGGAAAGATGTGTTTACACTACAAAGGCAACAATTGGCTTCATTGTTGTGTCACTATGTTTGGAGTCCAGTTCCCCACTGCCTCTCTTCCTGTGTTCACAAGCTGAGGAAAATGAAGCTGTTTTGAGGTGAGGAAGAGATTAACACACACACACACGCACCCGGGGCTCCATTATAATGTGTCCAGGGTCACAGTTAAGACGGACTAGCTGTATGTCACTACTTCGTGCTGAGCCCAATCACGTTGGGGAGCACTGTTGGAAATGGTAGCTGCTAATACAATCATTAATTGGCGCAAAAACACACATAATGCACACTCCATACTAGGGTTAAGACACTTTCAAAACTCTGATTATTGACCTGCCCAGTATACACACAGCTACAGTATACAAAATGTTAGTTGGCTAGGGTGACAGGTGGTTACAATAATGAGACAGAGTGATGACTGCTATTGATGTGGGCCTCTACTAGATGACTGAGTGTTGTGTTCAGTTGACTGGGACGGGGACAATCTTTGCTCCTCCACAGCCAGTCTCTCCTCCCATGACAGCTTCTCCGCGGAACGAACCCTACAACATGCCATTTCAAGATGAGTTTTTCACTATAGTAACACACACACGTCAAAACACAAAACAACAATGTCATGCAGGGCATTTTTGCATTTTGGCAAGCAGGAATGAGGGCTGCATAAATAAATCGAAAGCTAGTGGGCTAAAAAGGTGTAATTGAAATGCATAATTATGCATTTGGACGACAAACTGACATATGCATGACTGTTTTAGGCTCCTTCAGGAACATCCAAAGCTGATTGTGGGTCCATATCTCTTGTGTAAACCATTACATAGTTGCTATTATTGTATGGGGATTTTTAGCGCCAATTCTACAGGCTTATTCAAGAACTGAACTATGGTAATGCTCTCACAGGAAAATCACACTATATAGGCAGTGTGGGTGGTGGGTATATACTGAGTGAACCAACCCTTCCTCTTCCTGTTTCCTTCTCTTCTGGGTCACCTGACTCCTCACCACGTAGGCAGACCCTCCCACTGCCAGTGTGAACAAACCCCTATATAGAGTGTGAAGGTGATCCCAGGAATTCTTGAGTTGTTCAACGTGAAGTAGCTATACCGTTGTGTGACATACCGATATTATGGTATGCAGAGAAAAAATACCACTAGTGATGGCTAGGTGGCGTGAAAAAAACGCTTACCAACCCAGCGCAGAGGACCATCCAGTGTTCATTGCTGCTGAGCTCCCGGCCCCGCCCAGTCTTGCGCACCCCGCCCACCCGACAACCCTCGTGCGCATGCGCGTATGGCGGCGGAGCCCCCAGTCGCGGAGCCACGCCGCGTGGCTCTGCGAGGCTATCCATAGTCTGCGTCTGGGTCATAGTCCTAGTCTACAAGAGGGTTGTCGTTATTCTTCGGACCCTTTATCGTTCGTCTCAGCCAGGCTCCACGCTGTAAAGAATCAACTCCGCTGATAACATGATTATTCCGGCATACTGCTCTTTTATCATGATTGCTATGAACAAGATGGATGCACTTGCGTTTCCGGCAGCCTCATCCACTGGTAGCTGCTGCAATTGCAGAGAAATAAAATGTCACGTTGTACTTGCGTCTGTGCTATAATATACCATCAACTTCTTCCTTATTTTCAGCGAGGTGCCATATAAGCGCATGCTGCTAGCTAACTATTATAGTAGTTAGCGCGCGCCGTTCTAATTACCACACGTGCCGCAATACAAAATGGGCGTGTCGGATCGCTCTTGCGGTTTTGCGTTCCTACTATCGGCTCTGGCAAGCCGTTGGACAACATACATCTGTCTGGATGTAACAGTCTCGCGACTAGGTTATCTAGTCTCCCCGAGCCAGCACCATGCGACACCTGGTAGGTTTAGTTTACAACAACAGAAAAGCGAGCCTGTTTCAGTTGAACAGTGAATAGCTAACTCCTACTGTTTTGAAGTCGCCTAGGGCTTGCTGTAAGTTTACACATGTGCACACCGCTTTACGCTTTGAAGGCGTGAAAACACAGCGATCAGTTCGCCCACGCGATCGCTTCGCGACCGTCCGCCCTCGCCGCCCAGAGTCCAGACCCGACCCTCACGTGCTCCGCCCAAAGGTAGTTAGTGTGTGGCTGCATGGTGGAGCGAGACCCTCACGTGCTCCGCCCAAAGGTAGTTAGTGTGTGGTGCATGGTGGAGCGAGACCCTCACGTGCTTCGCGCAAAGGTATATATAGCCAGCCCGGGGCAGGGCCCACGCATAATAATTACGGCGTCATATTCCCCGCCAATCATTTATGCCAGTTTGTCCAAGCAAAACTCCAAGTAGCTGTCTAGGCGTTCTCTTACGGCTAAAAGGAAATGGGAAGCAGTCAAAGCTGTGGATTTGGAGTGCAAAATAATTCGAATCTTCCTAAAATAAATGTTGGTCTTTCCATGGGCGTCACACACTATTTTGAGAATGGTGTCGGACAAGGAGAGATAGTCTACCGGTGGCCGGGCGCTGTGTACTACACGGTCTATGCTGTCGCCCAAGAACCAAACGGGTTAAACGATTTATCCGGAGGAATGCGGCTAGTTCCTCTTGGAGTTCCCTACTGCGAAATGAAACTTTGCTATGGAGGCGGTTCTGGGAAATGGTTTGATAGTGGAAGGCGGTCCGGAGGTAAACGAAGAGCAAGATATCATCGCAACTAGGCTCACAATGAGAGTAGTACCACAAGAAACCGTGTTTGAAAGGGGGAACTTCACGGTTTATTCTCATTCTAAATACCACTCCAAACCTAATCTTTCTTGTACCAGAGGCTGCACAGAATGTAATGCTTGAATGAACGAAAAACAGCAAACAGAAAAGATATTATAGCTAGTGTCCAGTTAGCGCTACTTTAGTTTTACTTTGTAATAATACACATTTAACCGGTCTTTTCTCTATATGTAATGTGTTAAATTCTCAGCGTCATGTCCATCCGTGAAAACCCCAGCTTGTGTGGTGATGTGGAGATAATAATGCAGAAAATAACCCAAAGAGATCTGGATACCAATTAGGCAAACTTACAAAGCACTGAGCCATGGGATGTCTTCAGCCTTTTAAATATTACGTGCTCATGAAACTTATTGCAACAATGCGAATCACCACACGGAGTGATTGGTAAGACATTGGTTTGTAATGCCATAAATCCCATCTGTTGAGAAAATAATTCTCTTTGCTGACCAACATCAAAGTAACCCAACTGGGAGTTATCTTGCGTAACTGACATAACTCAGGGGGGGCATGATTGTTAGGCTCATTTGTACCTGGTTGTATGGATTGTTCCGTGTGCTTTTGACTCACAATGGCATGTTTTTACATAAGGCAGAGCTCTTTCAGTGACATTGACTGCACTACTGTCGTGTCCTTTGAGTGTGGGAAGCTACTTACATTGCCTGTGTAGTCTCTGGATTTGCTCAGAATTTCCTCTATGGAGGATAGCCGCTATACCACGTGTCCTAAGTGGGTGCCTGCATAGAAATTGTCCTGATGTTTCTTCTTCATGTCCTGTCTACCCTCGCCTACGGTCGTTGTCTTGAATGAATGAGAGTGACGTCTGTGGACGACTTCAGGCTTCCAGGTTCACAGTGTCGTAGAAAAGCAGCGAAGATTGCAGACTATTGAGCGCCCAGAATGCCGCTCAGTATCACACTGCACGTTGACGAATGCTGCTCACCTGTGACTGTGAACCAATCACGCAGGAATGGGCGATGTTGGTACTCCAACAGAGAGGACATCTTTAGCCCAAGTGTAGGTTGCTGACAGGAGCAGAGATGGTCTGTGGGTGTATAGCTATATAGTCAGTGTGGGTGATATCTAAAATTTCAGGCACTTTGAGAAGTGGGCTAACAAAAAACTACAGCTGTGCAGGTAGTGTGGGAAAGTTAGTTGCAAGTTAGTCGCTGAAACCCCCACACAACATGCAACGAAAGCTGAGATAGTAACCTCTGCATAAACAGAACGCACGACGAGTAGAAGGAGTAAGGTATATTGACTGTAGCGATATATAAAATATGCCAGTTACGAAAGTGCACCATGTATTTATACACATGCACACTATGCACAGATGCATACACAGTGTGACCATTTCGACTACAACAACCAGCAGTAAAAAGTAAAAACAAACACTCAAACATCATAATTCCCACTAATCCTCGGTGCTCAAAGCGCCGCGAAAAGCCATAGGGCCTTTGCCAACGCCCAGCAGTTTCTACGGAAATTTATGATTACGTAATGATTCCGTGACGTCACTAAGTAGCGCGAGCGCTAGCCGGCCGGCCTGCGCCTGTGAGGGCGCCTTTAATTTAGCGCGCTGACTCTTTCCTGCGCATGCGCGTGCCGTAGAGGACCAGGGGTGTGTGTGTGTGCGGCTGGCGGAGTCGAGTGAATTTGACTTGTAGAGGTGAGAGCTGACTAATCTTTAGCCAGGCATTAAAATTTTTACAACGTACAGTCAAGCTAGCATAATATAGATACCGGTAGATCTACGACCTTATGAGCGGCGTTATCCTCTGCTCAGTTCTCCGGCTCGCAGCAATTATTTTGCGTGAACAAGCGCGATCTTAGTGACCACTGACAAATGGTTTTCCTACCTAGCTACAATAAACTTCTCCGCACCATGCTCCCAACATATTAGCAGACGGTAGAGGTTAGCTATACCAATCTAGTTACCTATTCGTAGGCTTCAGTAGTATAGTGAGTACTATGAGTGAGGGCTTCTGCCTTTTGGTCTGCATGCTATATTAGGTAAGTGTAGGTTATAACCGCCAAAATGTTTCCCCACAGTCTGGCTACATACAGTACATCCTATGGCCTCTACTGAAATCTCCTCAACTGCGGTAGTGGCTGCTCTTCAACTGACAACCGAAAAGGCAAAGGAGCTATTTTTCCACCTCAAAGTCCCTCTCAAAATCCTCGATGACATTGACACTAACCATGTGGGTAGCATGCGCAAAATCCACTACGTCCAGGTGTGGTTTGACCATGACGTTGGGGCCAGTTGGGAGAAGATTGTGGCTGGCCTCAGACTGATAGGAATGAAGGCATTGGCTCAGACTCTGGCCACTCAGCAATGTTTGGGAGGGAGTTCAACCTCAGCTGTCGTCACTTTGGCCCCCAACTTCACTTCCTCTTCAGCAATGGCAGCAAAAGCCCCAGGGGCAAGTGGCCCTCAAACCAGTGGATCATCTTACAGTGATCCCTCCCTCAGTCCCATGGCATCTCCCTCGTCTCCTCTCTCCCCGTCTGACAGGGTCTCTCAGGTCAGAGCCGAGATCGACCAACTCAGCGACACCTTCTCAGACCTCATGTCCGACACGAGCGACGAAATGTGTGCACGAGAAAATAAGGATCCACAGTTTCTCAAAACGTTTCGTTGCCGTCTTTTGGATCTCCCCGTGTCCAAAAAGGTTCCCCATGCAAAGTTTTTTTGCGAGAGTGAAGACGATTTCCTGATGGCAAGGAACATGGAGAAAACATTTGCCATCCTTAGACGCTACTGCAGCTATATATCGCAACTATGAAGTACTGCGCGAAGTGGTCAGGAAGTTCTGCGAGGTTGTGCTCCAGCGAAGGATGCAGGAATACTGCAAGTCTCTCGAGAAGTTTGAGAAAGGTACAGCTGTCGATGTCTACCTACAAGCGATAGAAGCCGGTGAAGTTCTCGCCTCAGAATTCACCAAAATGACGGTGAAGATCAACAAGCCAGCATCGCAGTGCACGCTACATGAAGTACGCAAGACGACGGAAGCCATTGCAGAGAGAGCATCTCTCGAATTGTACAGCGTTTACATAGGCGGTGTGCTGGAGGGTTCAGTGCAGCTGGAGGTGGCCTTCCCGTCCAGCTGTGTGGGATGGATCCTGGGGGCCTTGTCCCCCGTCTTCCTAGCCACACATCTCCTGTCAGACGTGGTCGTCGCTCAAAATAGGATCTCAGTCCTGAACAAACCTCAAAAACAGCTGGTATGTACAAAGGGTCATGGTATGATAGGAAATAATATTTTTTTTCATGACCAATCGTAGAATGATGGGTTAATATCTGCCAGTGAGTCTGGGAATGTGGTGACAGTAGCCACTCTTCTCAACAGTGGAGCTGATTTAGAGATTGTGGACAAGGTAAGACTGCTTGTCACTAAAAGATTTACTCTTAAAAATGAAACTAAGGAACATCAATTCATCGACTAATATCGATTCTCTAGTATTCAGTCACTCCTCTGATATGTGCCAGTCTACGTGGAAATCTCCAAGTTGTCCGCCTACTGACATCAAGAGGTGCTACCCTGGAGTGTAGGGATGAGGTAGGACAACTATATGAACTAGTATTCTTGTTTCAGGCTCATCAAATTTTCCTTTAATCTGTCGTACAGAATGGGTCTACACCGCTTATATATGCTGCTGTCAATGGGATGAGTGACGCAGTCACTGAATTGATATCTTTTGGAGCCAATGTTGATGCCCAAAAAAATGTAAGCTGTACTGCAGTATTCCAAACAACTAGCATTGCCTCCAACTTGATCGAGTTACTCTATAATACCCATCCGTAGTAGTACTTTGCGTAAATTTAATGCCCTGTGGCATTTTCTATAAGGCCTTATTTCCATTTAGCACAGAAGGCTATAGACAACACACCCAGAGCAAAGGCCTAACAGAGCCACAAGTTTATACATGCATACTTAATTGTTCAACTATTATTCGTCCTAAAGGATGGGGATTCAGCAGTCGTCTGTGCTACAGGGAGATTTAGAGCAGACATTTTAAGGCAACTAGTGAAAGCAGGAAGTGACCTAAACCTCCAGAATAATGTGAGATACATAGATAATATACAATATTACATCGTTTACAACACATTGTTCCAATCATCAGTGGGGCATGACAGCTCTAATGATAGCTGCAAGGAATGGGAGAAGTGACATCACTACTATTCTGCTGGAGGGAAAACAGATTGATCTCGACATTCAGGAACATGTAAGCGTTAGTCATCTCTGTCTGAATACTGTTTGTAGTCGTTCCCTATACCTGCCTACAACATCAGCCAATTAATCAGCAGTACCTATTTTACTGCCTTGGCTTTGTTAACATACAAAAGGGATTCAGCATGTCTCTAGCCCATCATGTTGTTATAGCTTTGCAGTCCCCATATTTCTATGCGAGTAACGAGAATCATGTGATATGACGCTAGTCCTGTTCATGGGACTAAATAATACTTTAATGGTTGGCTTTTGGTGTTTCTGTGAATCAGATTAGGGGATGGTCAGCTCTCCACTTTGCTGCTGGAAATGGAGACTGGGCTACCACACATGCTCTGGTCGATGCTAGAGCTAATTTCCACCTCAAGGACAAGGTTCTGGATATCTTAAAATATTTTTACTTTCCTTTGAAATTCTTCTCTCTCTATCCCTCCCTCCCTCCCTCCCGTAAAGAATGGGAAGACAGCTCTGCAGATTGCTGAACGTAAATCAACAGGTGAATATGAGCCTATGCTTCAACCCAGGAGTAAACATAGCGCAGTGATGGGCTATGCGCTTGTGATTGCACTTCTAACAAGGAAGCTCAAGACTTCACATAGCCATCATGTGAGTATCATGTATCACTTCGAGGTCACTCCAACATCATGTGATTGCATCATTCGTAACACCTAATATATATATAGTGTTGTGAATAAAGTTTTCTCACAAACTTTACACTGCAACTTGGCATATTATGCATTAGGTAGCCAGTACTATTGCCATAGCAGCCTCTTGGCGGCTTTATTATTGTATGCCTATAGGATGCCACTGCCATTATTACTTCCAACACAGTTGCATTGGAGAAGTGAAGAGAGAGAGAGTCCATACTGAGAGAGGAGGAGAGGGGAGAGGTCAACAAAAGATATCAGACCTCCTCACAACCACACCTCCTCCATGACTGACTACTGTATAATACTTTTCTGTCGCATAATCTAGTTGGATTTAGCTTTGTGTGGTCTGCATTATAGTCACAGACCACATGCAATGTGTTGATATATTATGTAATCATGTACACTCTAGATGAAGGCACACGTGAGCTTTTGCAATGGGTACTCCGAGCCTGCGCGAAGTCACAGGATTCTGTGTAGGCGTTGCACGCCCAAAACATTACACAGCTGACACACAAAGCTACATGACACCATCCCTTCATCTTTGTTCTATTAATAGGCATATACAATCAGACAAAGATATAATATAGATGACATCATGTAGCTATGTGTGTTTTAGCTGTGAAATGACCCCTTGTTCCTTCCTTGTTAACTTTTTGTGCCATCCTTATATATATCCCCTTCATTTTGAAGAAAGAATTTTTCCACTTTTTCGGTGTCTGCCTTTATTGACTGGGTGGCACAGAGCCAGAGGGTCAAAGTATCATGCACTACATTAGACATAATTGCATGCGCGATTCATTTTATGCGCCATGCCACCCAGCCAATAAGAGACTGCTTGTATCTTGAGACACTTAATAACACTTGTTATGCTCAGACTACAATCCATCAGACTGTCTACAATCTATCTAACATTAATGATAAACTAGCAGAGTAAATAAAATCGCATGCTTAGAGAGCTTCAATGGCTTGTGTCAATTCAAACTTCATCCAGTGCTCAGGAACCGATTCTTCTTTCATATCGTACAGTGTAGCAAGTTCGCTTTTGAAGTGGGCGACAACATACTTCCAATACAAAGATGTCTCTCCAGGTAAATCTCTCTGTATGCACCATTTTGGAAACACCGTTTCGCATTCCCTATATGGATGCGTGTCATCGGAATTTGGCTTATAAAAGTAAGAATCATTAGCAATAGCCTCAGTGCAAGTTTCCAAGGTCATTTTTCCAGTTGATCGAATGCGCCATCCACCAAGACACTTCGGTCGATGCAATTTCACACTATGGTCTCCATCGTGATGATTGTTTGAATTATTGCACGGTTCTCTACAAAATGGGCATGCAGCTTTGCATCCTCTCACTCGTTTAAATATCAAATCATATGGTCGTTTATCCCATGACTCCATATCTCTGGCACTTAGCACTAACCTTCTCGATAACTTCTCTTTCAGTTTATCTAGCCTTTTCTTGAGTTCGGCATTGAAATGTTTGTTATCGCCACCAGAGCTTAATGTACATCGGATATCATCTTCTATAATAAGTCTTTGAGATAATCGTGATTTAAACTCATTAATCCAGGTGGATAATGATTGTTGGTTAGATTTATTCACAGCATTAATTACTTCCCAAATAAATGTCATAATTCCATCCAAAAGCTCCCTTGCATACATTGTCAAATTTGAGCATTGCCCTTGGTGTCCATCGCAGTATATTTCAGTGAAAGATTTAACATACTCTTCAAGATATTCACTGGGATGTTTCAGGTATCTATAACAACTATTGAAATCATTTTGTTGTAAAGCTGTACCAATTTGCACAAGGACATGTCTAATCAAGCTTGGTTTTGTAAACAAGAAAGAAATTGTATCATCACCTTCCATTTTCTCTACTACTGTTACACTAAGGCTTTTGATAATTCTGTGTTGAATTGTGGTTTCTAGAAGTTCGCAACATTGCCTGGCAGCTATAGCTTCCTCAGCTATACTTGAGTATTTATCACAGAAGTCTTGAAAGTATCGCTCTTTTTCTCTTCCTAGACATTTTACGGGATCATTTTCATCCCTATATCTTTCTGCCATTTCCTTAAACTTTTTCAAAGCATATCCACATGCAGTTAGGGCTAAATCCATTTTGTATTCTGGGGAAAATTTAAAGATTTCATCTCTATTAAAGTCCCTTAGTTTCTCATCTAGCAACGTTAGAATTTCAGTGGCGTAACTTGGATTGTAGTCCTTTCTTTGCTTACTAATCAAATATTTTTCTACTTCCTGCAAATACCGGGAAGTCTCTTGTTCAGCTATTTGCATCCATGTTGGTTGCAATGACTTCCAACCAACAAACCTTCCTATCTTTCCAGCAAACCTTTCAGAAAAAGAACTTGCAGAAGGTTTTATAATATGTGGCTCTTCTTCAACTATCAGAACAAGTTTTTCACCCCACCTTTCCAGGGACTTTCCTCCTTCAGCAGGAATCATTTTATTGAGAAATGCCTTTGACTGTTTAAAGTGATCTATCAGTGCCTCTTGTACTTGTAGATCTATATTATGCTTAATATGAGATGCCTTAGAGAGAGCTACCAGATTACTAATCCATTCACTCCACTGCTCTTCAAATTTTATTTGAAGTTGGAGAGGTGAAAGCCTTTCCTCGCGGTCTAAGTCAGCTACTAAATTTCTAACCCTTTCTGAAATAACTGTTTGACACTTACTTTTTATTTCATTGACTTTTGCTTTTGCCTTCTTACTATGCCAGACTTGTTTACAGTGTTTTTCTGCTTGTTCTTTCAGTTCTTCATTAAGGTTATTTAACAGCCTTTCTGTTTCATGTTTCCAGTTTATTAGGATTTCTCTATGAATATGTTCTTTAAAATATTTTTCTATTTTACAGAGAATTTCTGCATAGGTTGTAGATAATGTTTGAAACACTTTTAGTTGCGCTCTTTCATAAACCTCTGTGGCCAAATCATTAGCTTCAGTGCAGTTATGAATTTCAGTTTCAAAGTCATCTTCAGATTGCAACATTTCTTTTCGAAAACTCCAGAACCACTTGCTCCGCTCCGCATCAAGGTCCGAAAAAACAGACATTTCAAGTGTGTTCTTGAAACTAAATATGAAATTTTCCTGTAGAATAGCATTCCAAAATTTTTCTAAATATGATGTAAATTCTGTAAAGCTAACCATGCAACAACCACTGGCACATTGAATCAAATGATTTTTTAGCAATCTTGCTTTCTTACTATATTCTGGATTAACAGGTGCCATTGGGGGATTTCCATACCAAAGACTTGGAAAGTATGAGACATCCCTATCATCATCAAATTGAATTACATCATTAAAACTAGTATATTTCTTTTCTAAACTCTCTTTTTTGGCTGCAATCTGCGTCATCTCGTCAAGGTTATCTGTTATTTTTGCTCTACCTATCATTCCTTTATTGCTAGTCATTAATCCACTAACGTTTTGATGAACAAAGTGGCAACCTGGACTCAAAGTTGTCACATGCTTCATTCTCAAAAAAGCGTGTACTGCTGTTTGTAGAATATCATTCATGTCTGCTAAAACTTCCCCAAATATGTTTATTAGAGTTAGTTGAGCCAGTCCTATCACAAAAGTGCCAAGCTGATTATCATGATTATGAGTTTGTGTTGCATCTAATTCAGGAGCTCTAAGTCCTTCAGTATCAACAAGGAGAAGGTAACTATTTTTCTTAAAACTGCGGTGGTGAAAAGGAAGCAGTTGCATATATGCTCCTCTTGTGCACCTTCCAGCACTAACACTGAAATTAACTCCAAAAAGAGTGTTTAATAATGTGGATTTTCCTGAGCTCTGAATGCCAACAATTGAAATGACTAAAATCTGAGGATCATTTAGTTTGGTTTTAACATGGTCCAGTACAGCTAAAACCCACTTTAAGGGAACATGTGCAGTATCACCGTCCATTAGTTCTAGTGGGTAACCTTCAATGAGAAGTTCTGCCACAATTTCAGGGAGATGTTTGTATTTTTTGTGGTCACACATAACAGAGGCTTGATACATCTGCCCAATTTCCCGCAGTAAGTGTTCTAATCCAAACGAAGCACTTATAAGTTTCATGTTTAATTGTTCCATATCCTCTTTACACTTATGAATATCTTCTCCTTTCTTTTTCAAGTAATGATATTCTGCACGTTTTTTATGATATTCTTTATGAAGAGGTGGGAGTTTTTCACGGGACAGGTCATCAAGGATTATTTTAAGCCACCGAAGATAATAGTTACGGGCAACTTTATCCCTTGATAAATTACATAATGTAGTAAGAAATGAATTAACTAAGGGATTATCACCGATTTTCTTGACACACCCATGTTGTTTCCTATATAATGAGGCAATATCTTTCTCAATAAATTCTGTATATTGTGTAGCCGTCATTTGTTTATTTTTCAATTGCCTGTGTTTTTCTTTCTCCTTCTTAGCTATTTCGTGCCAATAATCAACTCCTTGAAGGTGTAGTAGACATTTTGGGTTAACACCTTTCCCTAACCTGTCAAGAACTAGTTTAAAATCAAGTGCCAATGATTTTCCTTTGCCACATTCTTCATCATCTTCATCAACCACTATTCCACAGCGAAGAGCAGCCTTGCGATATCTTTCCATTTGTGGAGTTTTTCTATCCCACGATTTGGTTATGCACGCATTTATCATATTTTGTATATCTGTCCTTTTCTCTGCTTCATTTCTATTGTCAAGTTCAATACAACCAATTTTATTTATTCGTTCACTTTTGAGATAGTGTTTTACTCTTGACACTCTTCCACTTTGCAAAAGTACGACACCTCCAGGTGCTTTGGATAAGACTTCTAACACTTCATGTCCACTTTCATTCAGTTCTTTTACATCGAGCAACACAAAATGCATTAAACATACTCCACTTATAAATTGAACTTGAGATTTAAAGTTACGAGCATCACCATGAAGATTTAAAAATGTGAGAGCATCAGGAAACGAACTATTCGTTGACGGTAAGTGCCAAGCAATATCAATCATACCTTCAGCCAGGAGTTTGGGTGTTCTTCCGCCCTTACAATCATAGTGAAAGAATGTATCATGACTGCAGTCCATAGTCATATTTATTATCTTGGATTTTGAATTTTTGTGGATCCCAAACCGCATAAAAGATATGATTGGAGTAGGGTGTAAGATAATGGGAACTTCAAAACCACTTACTTCACTGTCAGTTACAGACTGGAGCTCCCATTCTTTGATTATTGTTCTCATAGACCAGAGTGCCAGTGTTAAATTACCTCTCTTGTGATCTGGTAGCACTAGTGGAATAGCAATCTGACATGTTGCTAGCCTACACATCAGGTCTTGTCGTAGAAAATTGTCAGAACAGGCTAAGACGGTAATAAGTCCATCGAGAGGGTTAATACTTGCTTCGAGTTTCTCTTCTTTAACTTCAACAAACTCAGCTGTTTTAAGTTGCTGGCTCATCCACCCCATATCATTGATTACTAGATTTGTCAGTTCTACAAAACATTTGTCAAAACTTAGGATTTTTTTAAGTATCATAAATGGGTAAACTTTTCGATCAAAACAAACCTGTGACCCCTCAAAGTTGTCTTGTTTTACTTCCAAGGCTTGCAATAAAGTTAGTTTTTGTGGGTAATACTTTTTCAGGTCAAACACCGATAGCATTAGCTCAAAACTCTTAGCAGGATCTTTTTGCTTTAATGGCTCAGCTGCATTTTTTATTGCTAGTTCAACTTCTTCACTCATTCCATCTTCCATACTAGCTTTCATAATTCGTGTCAAAGTTGTATTTGCCCACTGAATTGTGACATCACCACACATAAGGCTTTGAACAACATTCTTTACAGCTGAGTCAATGTGCTTTCCTATCACTTCTGACATTCGTGTCAAGTGATCATACAATCTGGAGGTAGCACACATATCGATATCATTGGAGACTTCAATTGCCAATAATACAAGAAAAGCCTGTAGCTTCAATGCACTATTCTGCCGTTTAACTTCAAAAAAAGATCTAGTGTGCTTTTGAAATAGAGCTTTAAGAAGATCTATATTATAAGGGCCCCTTAGGTAAACCATATGGTGCACTCCACACTGAAAGGGGACAAGAAGTGTTGTGATATAGAGGTCATCATAGGACTGACCAGTCTTCTCAAAATGCTTCCGTAAATGGTAAAGAGTGTTGCGCACAACAGTAGTTGCTCTAAGAGCAGTATCTGGATCACTCAGTGAATCTATAAGAGTTTCATTATTCTGTGGATTATCACTAACTATTTCAGAAGCAAATTTAAGGCAATTTTCTACACTTAACATTAAGTCATTCAAATCTATCAATGCATGTGGTGTTTTTGTTTCGAACACCCAACTCTGAAACAGGTTTCTATTGGGGAATTTTGGAACAGACTCAAGGTCAGCTGGTCCTACTACCTGTCGCAATAGGCTTCTAATTTCCTCACACACTTCAGTAGACTGTTCCCTGCACCTGTTAACAGTTACCTCTAAATACTTTTGCACTGGAATAAGAGACAAATAATATTTTGCCCATATTTGGATATCCATTTTCGTAACCAACTCTTTTACTTCCAGGAGATGAGATAGGTGTTTGACACAATTTGATAAATCACTTTCATTCATCCAAACAGCAACTTCGCTTTTAAGTTCTTCATGAATATCTGATGAAGGAAAATCTTCTATACGAAGATAAACTAAGTTTTGTTTTTGCCACGCTTGTTTTAAATTGTCTGCTAACAATGAAGCTTTTTTAAAATCTTTATCATGAAATTTTAAAATGATCTCCCAAATTGGGAAATGTTCATCTCCAGTGCTAAGTAGAACCCATGAGCTTTTATCAACCATGAGACCAAGTTTCCAGTGGCCTACGGATACAGGTGTTTTAGCCCCACCACTAGTTGTAATATCGATATACGTCCTTTGATTAAGATCACTGGAACATTGAAAATTATTTTCATTTACTTCGGGGTTTTTAGGAGGATTTGACATGCATCCATGTACTTTTATTACTTCAGTTTGTAGGCTTTGTGCCGTAAGAATATCATCTTGACTAACACTGCAACTATAACAATGCCATTTGTAGGTACCACCAAAGTGAAATGGCCCTAGACAGACGTGGGACCCAAAATCATTCATAAAACTCTCACAGTTGCCTAATATAGCATTTTCACTTGAATTTTCAATTGCCTTCAATCTTCCTATTGCCTCATCTGACAATTTAAGCTGTTGGCAATCAAATATACATGAGGCAACGGGTGCATTAAAAAATTTAACTGTTGAGCAATAGTCAACTGGATGTGTTCGCTCTTTGGGTGCTTTTGTACCTTTCAGTATAACCTCTTCCTCCTCTTTTCCGATGCATCGAATGGTTTTTACAGACTGAGAATGAAAGGGCAGCTGCAACTCAATACCTTCTGGTACATCTAAAACGATATTTTGTTTACGTACTTTATCATTTCCTTTTATTAGAACACCCTTCAAAGCCAAACCATTGGATGCCTTCTGAACTACAGTTGAATCCTCAATCATTTCAGTTTTAACCACTTCACACATGAGTTCGTGATAAGCCTTAAAAGAGGTAATAATCATATCAAATGTATCTATTGAAAACCAGAACTCCTTAGGGACTTGCAAGTGCTCCTGAAAACATTTACAGAGATTTTGAACTGCTTGATCTTCAAACACTCTACCATCTGACTGAGCATCTTGCACTTTTTTCATTGCATGTAACATTTGTGTTGCTCTTTCTTCTAAACCTGATACATACTTGTCATAATGCTCAGATAATCCAGCTTTATCGACCTTCATTCTCAGTATTACCTGTACAGCCTTTTGTTCTTCTTTGGATCTAGCAAATTTAACAAGGTGTGGGTAAAATATGCCAGACATGTTATGCACTCCATTGGCAGTTATTGCTCCAACTTGTTTTGATAACACCTTTTCCCAGTACTCTACTTCAAGATCTGCTTCCTTGAGAATTCCATGTACCCCTTCTAAGGCTGATAAAGGATCTGATATCCCTAGTGCTTTACGCAAGGCAATTTTTTCACTGGGAGTGGCAAAAACAGAGAGTGTTGCAAACTTGTTTTCTTTATCTTCAATTTTATCCGGATTAGTTATGCCAAGATTAAAAAATGGCATTGACCATTTTTCACCACTTAACCCATGCTTTGCTAAGTGATCATAAACCACATTATCCGCTGACTTTGCCATTGCTCCTGTAGGGAATTGGAAAACCACCAGAAAGATCATCCAATATTCACACCTTTTAAAAGCACGGGTTGTGTGTAGTGACCATGTGTAATGGCCTACCGTCACCTAGCGGGTTCTCGCTAGCACACTTCGATAGCCGCTTGCTCACACACACGCGCGGTCTCAGTCTCAACAACATCATCACACGTGACGTATCGTGATCATACACGGACAATACAGATGATTACACAACCTTACTCATGCCAGAGGAGGCAGGGCCCCACATTTTGAATAACTGAGTGTATTCTACAGTTTATTGAATTCTTCGCATATATACCAGTACACAATTTAGAAACTCTATCAGACAGATGGTAAAAACCATCTCGCTGTCACCGTCCCTGTCTCTAGTGGGGAACTACAATGGTAATTGTCATTGCTTGATGACTATCAATGCCAATTGGTAGCTGAATACCTGCTGTAGGGATACTGCTATCTCCATAATTATTGACCAGAGCGCAAATGTAATTGACCTTCTTCCTATAGCACATGAAGGTATTAGACCATGTGATGCCAAGAGAAAAAAGATGCGAACTCTGGACAGCTGTTTGGGCTTGTTGGCCATCATCAGCAGAGCGCAGCACTTGTGGTTCTGAACTAATGAGATTCATCCCCACAAGGCTTTGCCACTGGTATGTGCTGCTGACCATGCCCAGACTTTCTTTGTGATAGTGCAGACAAATTTTAATCTATCTTTCCTTGTATGCCTATCTCTATAATTCCATCCCCCCCTCTTAAACCATCATCAAATGAGCAGTGTTTAATGTTCTTATTATATCTGTCCAGCCATAATAATAGCATTAGGCATGCCACATACACATAAAAATATGTCCATACTGACACAGTCCACACTTATGTGCTTCATGTAGCTACCCCTGTGTGTGGTGTTCTTGTTTATATACGAGCTTGCATACCCTTAAACTTTATCCAGAAAGCAATGATTTGGGAGATTACTGTAGGCTACTAACACAATGTCATGGGTCAAATATCATGTGATCCGCGCCAAGAGTGTCTGAATTCAGCAAATATGCCTACCGTTTTAAGAACACCAGAAATCAATCTATCTCTGACTGATTTCTGGGAAGAAGACGAAGGCGATTAAAAAAGGTAGAAAATCGTTAATGAGAAGATTCTTGTGTCGAAAACTGCAGCCACGCATGGGCCCTTTGGGCAGACAGAAATCTCAGTGATGCAGATGAGGATATCAGAGTGTCAGTTAGCTCAGGGTTAAAAAGAAAGCTCTGCTCACTTTATCCTGGTCTTGCACCTACAACCATCCTAATGAAAAAGCACTAAAATGAAGTGCAAACCATTGGCACGAGTAAACCGCTCGGCAGAGCACAATACGCATGCACATTACTCCTGAATGCTAAAACCTTGCCAAATCAAAGAGGGACCCTGTTTAGCCAATCTATACTTTTCCCCAGCTTTCAGAAAGAGGAACGCTTTCTGGACGTCCAATTGACGAGAGATGAGGTTGAGCATGCAATTCGGAAGATGAAGCTCAAGAAGTCAGCTGGACCACATAAGTCAGCTAGACCTTAACTTACCTGCTTTATTACAGGGAGGACATCAGGCATGGAACTATATGGACACACACAAGAGGTTATGTACTGAAAACCACGCTACCAGCAATTTGCCTTGTTTGGCGGACACGGTGTTATTTCTGCATTTGGCTCATTGTACGCCATGTGAACATGTAGTTCTTCGTCGCGCATGTGGACAGAACGGCAGTTACTGCAACAGCGGGCATCTCAATCTAAAGCACACTCAGTATTTCTCAAAGGGAGACGGTGGATACGCCAACACTTTGCTACACTACTCTGTATTGGAGAAGCTTTGACATGAAAAACGTGGTGATGGAAGTCTGCCTGCTCTTATGATGGTGTTATCCAACAATGAACGGCCCGACCTCTACACGTTTCCTGACCAGTCCTGTTGCCGAGTTGAACCGCCTTCCAGAGACTAAAATTTGTTGTTTTTAGTTATTGCGATTCATTTCAATGTATGTTGGTGGATACCAAAGCACCTTCGTCGAATTGAGTCCACTGCACATGGAAAGCTGCGTGAGAAAAGCCACAACTGGGGCAGGGGCGTTTGGTTCAGTGCCGCCCGTGGTACGGGAGAGGCATTGGGGTTTTGGCTGTCTGTAGGCTTGAATGTTCCACTACTGCTGTGAGCTAGCATACTAAGTAAAACCCTGCATCGTCTGGCTGAGGCGAACAGAAGTTTGCATGAGCATGGTGACTGTAGTGTAATCCAGCGTTGACATTTAGAGTAGCAGGGGAAAAACTCGCTGTAGCAGGGCAAAAAGTAGGCCTATTGTCCCAGAAACCCGTAGGACTTTTGCAAAGTGGTGTTAGAGAAACGCCATCTTCTGGATCCTCGAGGCAGACAGGCCCGTTTCCTATATCCGATTTTCAACTGTGTTTGGCCACTTAACTGTGTATTCTTGTTAAATTTTTCGGTTAATATGACAAATTTAGACTCTCCTCCACAGTTATAGAAGTTCGGACCTCAAACTAGAGAAAGCATGGCCGCTCAAAAAAGGTTTAACACTGATTTTGAAATTTCATTCAAAATGTATGGTTCAATGAGGAATGTATCAGTGCGAGAGATTGCAGTTGGCCGAAAGACTAGCTTGACCGAGAATTATTATTTGTTGTGCTTGGGCAGTGGATGTGTCATTTTTCTTGACTTCTAGATGTTCAGACCTCTCCCGTAGTGTGGTGTAGTCATTCATGTTCTCAGATATACTGACTCCTATTTCTCATGCCTCTCCGGCTGCTATCCTGGCATTTCCACCTGAGCTATCCTGGCTGAGCAAACCTACGTATGCCAAGGGCAAGGATAGACCTTTGTACAAAAAACCTGGGGCGTGGTATTACAGTTTGCACATCCGCCGCATATCCATGCAGAGCCACATACCTTCTCCATCGATGGCGGTATAATTGGGCGAGCAGGGCGAGCCCACCTAGTCGTGTATTCGGCTCGAATTTTCTACGACGCACCGTCGTCGTCTTAGTGCGCACGCGCTAATATTACGCGCTTGTGCGCAATTTTCTCTTAATACAGTTGGCTTCGAAGGAATCCGCGGAGGATAGTGTTCTTCGTCGAAGAAAAACAGACAGAGAATCGTGTCTTCGGCTCGAATTTTCTATCTATGTATGCCCGGCCGTCGAAAGTTCTCACGACAGAGAGGCTCGTCTTTTTCAGGGATGATTACGAGATCGAGAGCGGGCAAGGCAACGATACTGCTTCTGGTCCAAGAGGTATATAGACAGACAGAACGCCCGGCCGTCGAAAGTCCTCACGACAGAGAGGCTTGTCTTTTCAGCGACGATTAAGGATGGAGAGGGGGTGCGGACACATTATCTTTCCGTTGCTACTTTCTTCTGGTCTAGTTTCACTAGCTACGTATGCGCAAGCTGCCTTACTCAACCTAATATTATGTCAACACCATAATAACTTCTGTTACTTGCTGAGCTATATTATCGCTAGTAATGATGATGGTTGTATATACTTGAGTTCTCGCTCCGCTCGCCAAAAGAATGCCAAGCATTTCCACTAGTTAACCCTCAGGCGTGGGAAGCATCCGCGACGCCTTCAAACTCGACGTCTTCAAGCTCGTATCCGATGCTTCTTCGATGTAAGGCCCCTCTACGATGTTAAAAGATGTAGTCTTCCCCCAGCACGAGAGCGAGTCTCGCAGAAGACTGACGACTTGACTGCCAGCACGGCCACTGCGTCTAGTATACTGCGCGTTAATAAAAAGACGCGATTAAAGACGGCGACAACTACAGCTAGCTCAGGGCCCTTCGGCCGTCTATTGCGCAGTAAAACCTATTTATATACAATATTGATAGCCCTTTGATAAGGAGGTAGTAATCACATATATAGAGGAATGCAATATTTTTTTGCGAGCGAAGCGAGCACTGAGTTTGCGCGTTTATCAGCTTCGCGGAGCCACGCTTGGTGAGCTCGCTTCGCTCGCCAATAAAGTTATCTTGCAGGCCAAACCTTGTTCTGATACTTTTCCGCGTTCCAGTTGGGTGGAAAAAGTCAAACAATAGCCCCCGGACAAGAGTGGGGAAAGGAGCAACTGCAGGTACATAATAGTAATGAACAAGAAAAGTTATTACATAGTTAGCTATACCTTTGCTGTTTTTTAGCTTTTGTCCTCTTTCTGTCCTTCCGCAGAAATGTAACGCAGCTACCGTGGCCTTTCGTTTTATGCAAGCAATGATGCGCAAAGAACGCCGAACGTAGGCATATATAGCGCGCGCCTAGAATAAAAAAAAAGTCTGTTTTGCATTGCGTTCTTATTTCCTGTTTTCCTTTATTATTAACCATCGGCGCGCATGCGCAGCGAGGGTTACAGTAGTTGGGTTTGTCTGTCTGTCTGTCTGTCTGTTTGTCTGTTACTCTCAATCTCACTTCTCGAGTGTCTGTTCGTCCCAGAAACGATACCATCTACCCAACAGGCGACGAAGGTCAGAAAATATGTGGGGTTTTCTCTGATAATGCTCCGTTGCAGAGCTAGAGCGCTTCCACCATTGTACGGCTAATGCGTAGTCGGCCATTTTTATCGCTGCGGAAAATGCGCATGCGCTTATATATTTTTTAACCTCGACCGGGTCCGCTTGTTCTGTGTAACTTGAAGGCACAAGAAGTCACAACGAAGGGCGTGTATCGACTCTCGCATGCTATCTACTACTGTAACTAGCCCGTGTCAGACTCTAGCGGGAGACCACGAGTAAACGCATACTAATAGCAGCCCAGCCCATCAATTAGCGCTACCGCGCATCCCCAATTCGCCGAGGGTTTGCACTTCATTATTATTATTATTTATTTACTGTTTTTTCCTTCTCTCTGTTCCTCGTTTATTTTATTTTGTGTATATACCTGTGTCAGTAATGTGTTTTAAATAACATGATCTGTGCGCGTCGCGTCGCCGGTGGTGCAATCGCGCTAGCCTCGGAACCCAGGCCTTCCCCGTTCAACGTGGTGTAGAGTATAGTCGCGACGGGATATAGTCCGCTGGGCACTGGTCCACCTATCACCTACAACTTTCCCTTCCTATCTGTTTTTGCACCTGTATTGGTGATAGTAGTACGCGGGAGCATGCGCGGATAATTTTTCTTAAATGTGCGTGGGCAATCTGCGCGAAGAATGGGAGGGGGAGGTCCTCCTCCTGGGCTTAAACTTCACGTAAGGGTAGGCTCTTAAGGTTCCGCCCCCCAATCCGGTCAACAATAGGCAATCAGTACACGAAAGCCTTCAACTTTGCCAAGAGCACCTATAGAACTGAAATGAACAGATTCTTCGGCACCAACTATGGTATTTGTAGCCTATCAAGAATATTATTGTTGGGCATACTGTGCTCAAACTTGTTATTAATGATCACAACAACAAGAATGGAGACTAATCACTATCCCTGTGTTGCAGCAGCTAGGTATATACTGGTAAAGATTGTCTAGGTGCACCTGCAAGATGCCCCATTTTTTGTAGCCATAAATACACTATCATGAGCCACTAGCCATAAATACACTATCATGATAAGTTATGCGGCCCTTTGAGTAGCGTCACCGCGCTCTGGGTGCACCTGCAAGACGCCCCTTTTTTGTAGCCATAATACACTCACGATAAGAGTATAATTATGTGTCCTTTTGTCATCACAGAGTAGCGTGACCGCCACACGCATCACTGGAGACGCCCTTTATTCTGCCGGCTACCCATTATTGTGTGTCTGCCCTATATAGTGATGTTACGAGCTTGATAGCGTATTTATGACTAGTGGCTCATGATAGTATATTTATGGCTACAAAAAAGGGGCGTCTTGCAGGTGCACCTAGAGCGGTCACGCTACTCGAGTGATATAATCTTATCTTGATAGTGCTACAAAAAAGGGGCGTCTTGCAGGTGCACCTAAAGCGGTCACGCTACTCTGTGATCATTGATAATAAAATCTTATCTTGATAGTATATTTATGGCTACAGGGAAAAGGGGCGTCTTGCAGGTGCACCTAGACAATCATTACTGCTACATAACAGTACATAGCTGCTGCAACACATAGTCGCCATTCTATTTTACCTGTTTTTGTGTGTGTGAATAGATCAATTGTTTGATTCCGTCAGTACAACGTTCAATTTTACACGCATCACTGGAGACGCCCTTTATTCTGCCGGCTACCCATTATTGTGTGTCTGCCCTATATTATAGTGATGTTACGAGCTTGATAGCGTATTTATGACTAGTGGCTCATGATAGTATATTTATGGCTACAAAAAGGGGCGTCTTGCAGGTGCACCTAGAGCGGTCACGCTACTCGGTGATATAATCTTATCTTGATAGTGCTACAAAAAAGGGGCGTCTTGCAGGTGCACCTAAAGCGGTCACGCTACTCTGTGATCATTGATAATAAAATCTTATCTTGATAGTATATTTATGGCTACAGGGAAAAGGGGCGTCTTGCAGGTGCACCTAGACAATCATTACTGCTACATAACAGTACACAGCTGCTGCAACACATAGTCGCCATTCTATTTTACCTGTTTTTGTGTGTGTGAATAGATCAATTGTTTGATTCCGTCAGTACAACGTGCCCAACATTATTAGTCATGCTACTCTGTGATGACAAAGGGACGCATAATTGCCGAGCGCGTTAGCCTGAGGCAAGTACTCCGGGTTGTATTCTCGCGATATGCGTACGTAGTGGCGGTCACGCTTAAGAATGTAAATTAGTCACGCTTAGGGAATTCAATTAGTCACGTTTAGGAATGTCCATTTTCGCCCTGCGCGCAGATTCGCAGGAAGTCTGGCTTCGCGCGCGCACGAGCGGCCTCAGTCGGACTGCATTGGCTGGCAGGCGCGAGCAAAAATATGCGCGTGCGCCTTCCTAGTATAATCTTACTAGTACTAGGAATGCGCACGCGCATATTTTTCCTCGCGTCTGCCAGCCAATAACTGAGGCCGCTCGTGCGCGCGCTCTACTGACTGCGCGTCAAGCCATCTTCGCGCACGGCGGAAGCTAGACTTCCTACGAATGACGGAAGTTACACTTCCTTTTGGTGACTAATTGACATTCCTAAGCGTGACTATTTGACGACGTACGTACGTACATACGCATATCGCGAGAATACAACCCGGCCTCTTACACGGGCTAGCTACACCTAGTAGATAGCATGCGGGAGGGAGTCCTTTCGTTGTGACTTCTTGTGCCTTCAAGATAAACAGAGCGAGCTGACCCGGTCAAAGTAAGCCTGTGCTAATTTGCAATTGGCTTGTTCACTTGCCATAACTTTTGAACGCAAATGAAGCCAGTGTAGCCGTTACTATTGATCTTTGGCTGATTTCTTGCGCGTGGTGGCAGAAAACGTGGTAACAGGCACATATTGACGAACAACAAAGTATAACCCTCGCTGCGCATGGGCACTGAGTCAGATTAGTACGGCGGCGGGCTATGTACTATAATACTGCATAATAGTCCTTCGCTGTGCATGCGCATAAAGGGCGCGCGCGTAGCATGCGCATAGCTAAGGCAGGGGCAGGGACGTCACGAAACCCCCACATTCACATGAACTGGTTCACTCGCTACCTGTCAAGCTATAGCTCCAGCTGAATCACATAAAGGTAATGTCTTTTACTTCATCTGGTCAATGCAATAAGTATAATACCCAGTGACGTGGTAAAAAGTCGAATCATAATTTTCTTCTATGTACACGGCAACAGAATTAGAGAAGAGCTAAACTGATTATGATTCTAGTTGTTCTTGAAGACTACTACTGGACCAGAGTGTCAGGGGCAAAGTTGATCATGTAGTCAAAGTCGGGCGTGAGGTCTTCCTCCTCCAGGAAATGAAGTGGGAGCTCCACCACATGTCCCTGGATCTTCTGCAGAGTCTCTCGAGCTCTCTCCACATCCTCCTCCACCACTCCTGAGTTGGTCTGTTATCCAGAAACACAGCATAACACATCTTCAATATGAAAATTACAGGGGAACCTCTCTCTAAGGAATAAGGACACCCCTGAATGGCTATCTATCCACAAGAACAGTCTTGAATCCTAACGGAACCCCTGAAATAAGGACACATCTTTTTTCTCTCCCATTAGTGTCCTTATTATAGGGGTACATTAATTTGTGTATGCACCCACATGATCTGGCTTACCTTGTACTTTTGTAGATCTTTGTAGCTGAGAGTTTTATCAGTTGGTATCATTTCACCACCAAACACCTGCACAGTATTATAACACAATAGAATAAAACTGGTGCCATAATAAAGTTGGTAGCTATACTACGCAGAGAACCAATACACGTATAGTTGGAAGTATCACAAATAAAACGACCATGTAATGTGCACATGGTCCTGAGACACTAGCTCCACAGAGTGGGCAGCAATGTTGAGATCAACATATTTGCTTCTGCACACCTAGTTAGACTAGTCTCTATTACTTCAGCTTGAAGCAGGGACTGACACTGTCAGTAGTCAGTAAGTTTCATGGGACGAACCTGTCGGTATAGCTGGGTGTTGTTGACGGCAGCCTTCATCCAGGTGTTGAGGTAGAACTCATCAGAGACTGGGTCTTCAACACTGATGTCACTGGAAGGAGACTCAACTCCGCCCTTTTGCTGACTCGGCAAGAGACCCAGGTGCTCCCTGGTAATAAAAGAGGAACCCCTCTAATTCTAAAGAGAAGAAGCCTATACAAAGATTTTAAAATCTGTACTGTCATCCTCCACTTAAGGAAACACTGAATAAGACAAGCCTTTACAAAGGATCAATGTGGTACTGATACTAAATTCTAAAAACAGGACACTTATGTAAAACAATCATTCTTCATGGCTAAATAATGAAGGGGTCAGAGCGAGTGGGCCAACCCCCAATATACAACTCTGCATTTTCGTTCAAATGTGTGTCTTTTGGGGTTCCACTGAATATAGAATGCAACAGAAGACAGTACTTAGACCCAGAGAGGCGGAGTATATGATGATGCAGTGAGCTCACTGAAGAGGTGGACACGAATTGAGTGGGAAAACTTGCCAACTTGATACGGCTGACCATTCATGGTACCGTCAATCTATAAGGAGAATTGAACAGAGAATGAAGTGAGGGAGCAAGGGGGAAATGGTGATAAGGAAATATGTCTCACCATTTCTTTGTCCTCAAATCGAATGGCCACTTCAGAGTCTCTCTCTCCAGTCATACTTCTGTCATTCACATTGGCTGCAGCATGACATAACCCGACATAACACACAGTCAACATCTTGCAAGCCTTGCCGCAATCTATAATGCCTTAATAGCATAACAATGACAAACCAGACCAGATCTATAGCTCCTATAACGATGCAGTCTGTTCATGTTACTTGTCAAGCAAATAAAGACACCAACTTCGATTATAATTATTATACCTGAGCCAATGATGGTGATTCTGTCATCAACCACCATCAGCTTGCTGTGGACATAGACAATCTCCGACTCCTGCACATAATGAATAGCATGACTTTACACGCTCTTATAATTGGTAGCTAGACTCACAGGAGTCCCATTGATCTCTCCGTGGGTCCTCAGACCATACGCTGATATGTAGTTCTTTATCTCATCCTCCGGGACTGAAAAATGTGAGAGATTAAAGTATGATGGCTTTTCAGAGCTAAAGAAGCATACGTGACTACGATATGCAAACAAAAACATTAGCTTAGTGATACACAAGCATGCACCATTATTATGGTTTACAACACATTATTTACTTTGCCTATACCCCATGAAGAAAAAGCATCTTGAAAAGGCTTGACCTCACAAACTTACTCCCGTCCTCCTTGTGAAGTCTTCCAAAGAGAGAGTCCTCTCCTCGTGAGAGAGTGTAGTAGTTCCAGTGGAGAACTGCCTCCAGAACTGCTGTCTCCTTCTCTCCAAACTTTTCTGTTGAACAAACAGGGTTTTGAACTAATGAGATTCATCCACACAAGGCTTTGCTCAGGCACAGCGCTTGTGGTTCTGAACTAATGAGATTCATCCCCACAAGGCTTTGCCAGCAGTCACATGTACAAAACATTTCAATCAGTATAATGAAAGAGTAGTTCCAAGAATCTAGTGAGCCAGATGTAGTGGGAACAAGAGGCCCCTTCTCCTTTGACAAGCTAAAACATTGAGGAACACATATTATTTGCACTGCACTCTTCAGCTATAGTAGAGGTATTTAGGATCAATGCATTAGTTTTTTCGTCACCTCGAATTCTTGTTAAAAGTACGAGAATTAGGCCTCGTGCCTCGTTTTCCACACCTTACTCGCACTGCACCCGTCAGCTATAGTAGAGGTATTAAGGTATTTTTTTGTTTGCCCACTCTTCATACCACATTCTTGTTAAAAGTACGAAAACTTTATTTGCATTGCAACCTTCAGCTATAGTAAACGTTATTAGGATATTGCATTTGCCTGTCTATCACCTCTTACTCTTGTTAAATGTACGAATATTTAGGCCACATTACTTGCTATGGCAAAGGTCTTTGGAATCTTCCTGTCTTTCATGTAAATAAAATTTAAGCAATACTATTTTCATCAAACGGCATTACACTGCACTCTTCAGCTGTAGTAAAGGTATTCCGGATATTGCATTTGCCTGTCCTTCATCCAAGGTTCTTTTTAAAAGTAGGAAAAATTTAGGCCACCAAAACCTACGCTGAGGGTTTGCAACTTGGTGCTTTTCATTATACCCCTGTCTGTATTAAACTCACCAGCAGGGAATGAAGGGAAGGAGAGGCATGACAATGATGACTCTGAAGGTCTGTCCCTGCCTGTAGGCCCTCGCGATCCTGAATCTGAGGGCCTCGGCCACCTTGTTAGTGACTTCTTCCTTTGGCAGCGAGGATATGAAGAATTGTTGCTGGAGGAGAGGAGAGAGGGGAGGGCAGAGAGACAAGTTCAGCTCACACTTTTATACATTGCCAAGGCCATGATTCACAGTATCGACAGTAAAGTGATTCAATTACCGTAGAATACGTGGGTTGTAGAACATGCGAGTACACGAACCATGAATATTTGTTTTTTGTGGGTCAAAATGCAATGATGGTGGTGTTGTGCATCACCGCCTAATTATTAAAAAAATGGTGGAGGCTTTATTGGGCAAAGTAGCAACATAAGCTATTACATCACGACTAACAGAGTTTCTAGGGCTCCAGAATATCATATACACTGAGTTCACGTAAACAAAGAAAATCTGTGCCAGGTATATGATAAGCTGTAAGAAACATCTACTGCAGTTTCTCTGCAGTTGTCTGTAGCAATCGGTGTATACGTAGTTTCTTACCAGAGGAGAGAAGAAATCATTACCTCAATGAAGACAAAGTGCTCTGAGTCCTCAATGGCCTTGACCCAGGCATTCATGATGGAGTGTTCCAGAGGTACGCCAGCCTGACCACTCTTCCACTGACCTCAACACCTGTGTTGCATTATTAAAACAACCAACAGTTACACCACTCATAGAGATTCCTCGAATGAAGTGTAGCTAATGTATTATGTCTAGACTACAGCGCCAGAGTGGGCGACATACATAGTCCCTCTATTGTCCGTCTGAATACGCCCTGCATGCCAACAATGAGGTATATAGCAAAGGAAAGGCAAAGCAACTACACCCAGGACAGCTCTTTTTTTTCTCAAGGATAGCTTCCCTGGGTGGGATTTGAACCTGCGACACTGCTGGAGCATCATTTTCACAAGCTGACTGACACTCCACTTAAAATGCCGGAGGTAATACATAGTGTTAGTGGAACAGTCATCACACTTTTTGCTAGGGTCTGATTGTCCCCCAGCAATAAATCCCTGGAGCTACACCAGCAGTACACCTACCTGAGCAGAGGTAGTGAGAGTGTGTCCAGCAGTAGTCAGAATATCTCTGAGGTAGCCAGTCTCCTGCTCCTCTGACTGGGAGAATGTCTTCCGGGGAAGCAGGTAGGGAGCCTCTTCTTCAATCTTCTGCTCCCGCTGAAAACAAGTTGTGAGTAAAACAGGCTCTCAACGAGTTGTCTGGATTTTTGTACACAGCAATAATTATAATATGGCAGTGAGCTAAACCACTGAAATATTATAGCACTCACACAAAATGCTACAGTCACCCTCTATACCAGATATTCTCACGTTCACTTGTCAAATAGTGCTGCATTCATTCTAGCCTTATTGCAGTAAGGCCAGCTATAGCTTGCTACCTATGCATCACCCAAGAGGCCAGTCTAAAACAGAAGCAAAGCAAGCAGTTCTTCAAGTTTGTCTAGCAATCCCACATCCATTGCTGTCACACACACATACAAATTGTGATTGTCAAGTGAAAGGTCTTACGCTCTACAGACTTGCTAACAGTCACCAAGACATGCTACAGACATACACCTATTACTGTAGAAGGAACAGACCTTGGTGAAGTTGTGTCTCTGAATGAAGTGTCTGGCGACATCTCTAGCTGCTGGGCCATACACAGCAGAGGCTATGTCATGCCACGGCATCCTCGGCTCCTTGGAACGATCATACATATCTGCAGGCGCAGAATGTTTCCATTAACAGCTAAACTATCCAGCCAATAATCATGTACAGATTAAAAAGGATGGTTAGAAGTTTAGGGATCACTTCTTCGAAAATATCACAGATTCATACATAGTGCCCCCCTCCCCTTTGTATGTACATACATGTATGTAGGTGGGATATTGGTGAGGTATTTGCTCATGCATGTGCTATATCAAGTGTGACTAAAAGTGCTTTTTGAGGTGGTTATAGCTTGCCTTCAAATGCCTTATCAAGTTCAATCAAGTCCTTGGTGAAGGGGTTGAAGAAATCTTTCCCAATCCACTGCTGGACATTCCCACCATCGCCAGGTCCTTCCTCCACTTCCTCCTAAATCACCATGTGTCAGTTTAATACATGGCATTAGGCGTACACCCAGAATGACGAGTGGAGCCAACAGCATGGATCGTGGTGTGTATATAGACAAAAGGTAGGAGCATGTCAAAGACACTTAGGATATCACTTCACAGAAGAAGTTAGATCTCAAACCCACAGCACACTCTGTTTGTCGAACTCACCCGTGTTCGTCCGTGAAATCTAGTGCATAGCAGCCCTCGGGACCCCTTTAATAATAAGGGACCTTGGGGGACATTGAAAGTGCCTTTTGTTCTCAGAGGCACCCTTTATTTGGAGATATTATAGTTCACTAATGTTTTAGTATGGGGCAGAACCAAGTGTCAATTATAGAAATGTGCCCTTTTTTCGTAGGGTCCTTTATCATAGGTTTCACTATTAGCTCACTAGTTCAGTTGAAGCTTCCTCTCTAGTGATATCCTCAGAAGGAGCTGGATGGTTGTCGCAGATTTCATGACACTCGTTGTCCCAGCGACCAAAGGCCAGGTCAATCCCACCCACAAATGCCAGGGTCTGGTCAATTATGACAATCTTCTCGTGATGTGCCCACAGTAGGACACCAGATTTATACACGTCAGGGTCACGGAAAAACTGGACGAGAAGATAGAATAAGAGAGGGGAGGGAGAGACGAGGGGAGATGAGGGAGAGAACGGAGTTCCATAAGAGGGGTATAGTGGGGGTTGGAAAAGGTAGAAGTAAGAGGTAATGAAGATGGTACGTACTGTGCAACACAAATTGTTTTGGCACAAGACTCTCTGAAACTACAAAATGTATGAAGCACTTGCATACACAAGCTCAACAACTCACCACAATGTTGGGGTGCTCGAGGAGGTCCTGGGCATACTCGCTGCCCAGTTGGAGAGCCAGCTCCAGCTCCTTGTACACCAGGAGAAACACTCTCACTCCTTCTTCCTGAAAGGAGCAGAATGAGATACATTATACGTTGGTGATCCCAAGAGGTCTACATGTGACCCGGTTCTCAAAGCTGGGCACCCAGGGTCCTGCCTCTTTCTTCTGTTTATATGTTACTGTCTGTGTTTTTGTATGCTTGGGTATGTTATTGTCTGCGTTATGTGTGCTTGGGTGGGGGAGGTTCTTTCTTTTCCTCTAAGCTAGTATGCTATAAACATGTTTTTTCATGTAAGAGGTTGTGAGAGGAATGAAAGGAAGAGAGAATGGATTACCGCTTTCTTCAGGAGCAGGTGGTCCAGCCTCCACTTCAGTCTGTTCTTGTGACTGCCTTCTCTCTTTAGAAAGATGTGGGGACTGAACCTGTGGGGAATCATCATTGGTGGGTACACTGTACATATTATGTACATCTGAGAACCTAATATTCGTTGTCTGACACTGTCACACAGCACCGAACTTGCATACTACCAGTATAAAAGTGATGCTGTATAGCTCTAATTGCTGCATTTGTTCTACATGGGGTATACTGTAGAGTGTATGAGCAAAAGGCAGCCAAGTCTCAATGGGAGTGGGTGACAATACACACATTCTGCAGTGAGGTAGATAAAGACAATATGTACAGCCTATACCAGCAAATAACACTCACATACCTATACCAATGACATGATGATGTTAAAGGACGGGCCATGATTTGATTCAACGTTTGATTGTGAGGAGTTTGTGTATTATGGGTAGGATGCATTCTCTTACTGCCAGTCAGTGATGTATATTTCATCTTTGGCAGCCAGGATGGCATCAGCTACATCAGACATATACTGCTGTCCATCCACATACCTGGACACCAGGGGAGAGAGAAATAATAATGAGAAGAGAGAAAAAGGGGAGAATGAGAACGAAAGAGAAACGAGAGAGAGAGAGAGAGAGAGAGAGGAGGGGAAGTACAGACCATTTTGAAGGGGTGTTACTTCGCAGAGGAGCAAACGAGGAGAAAGGTTTTGGATCCAACCACATCTTTGCCGACCCGTACATCACAGCCTCCAGGGCACCAACCCACTCACTGGACAGTCATACGTACGTATGTACGAATCACAGAGAATAGTAATATTGTATGACGGTGTCTCAGTATTAAGACAGTACGTACCTCATCTCATATGTTGAGGATGCATGGACAAGAAGTTCCCTGTGTGGGTGGTAGTATACAAATGTAGTTTATATGTAGCTCAGCGGTATACGTGTGCATGTATTGTACATGTATGTACGCTGTCACCAGGACTATGGCACATTAACCCCTCCCTCGACCTGAAGTGAGTTCACATTAACCCTTCTTTCAAATTGACCACATGCACATTAACCCCTCCCTCACCAGCTACACTGGGTTCACATTAGCCCTTCTTTCAAATTGACTATGTTTCAAATTGACTACGTGCACATTAACCCCTCCCTCGCCAGCTACACTGGGTTCACATTAACCCCTCCCTCACTGGACTATATATGTGCACATTAACCCCTCTCTCACCTGGACTTGGTGGTGATCTTGATACCATGTCTTACCCCAGTATGAGTAAGACCATACTTGAGGGTCATTCCAGTGTCAAATAGCAGCACTCCTGAAATGGTGCGACGGGCATCAGATGAATAGTGAGACCTGTGATGAAACAGCAGTGCAAGAACATGACAGAAAGTTAAAACTTGTCTGAGCTGTATCTACTGTAATACTAGTGTGTCAGCCTTATTGAGTTATGTACACACATATGGGAATAAAGTATTGCTAATCTACTGTATGTGCGCAGACCCTGGACCAAGACCACCTCCATCAAACAGTATTATGTATGTACAGGTCGCTTGACACTGTATTACTATACCTCATAATGACGAGATAGGAGTCTTTCAAGACAAACCACCTGCATACAGAGAGATAGAGGATATTCAACCTAGACCAATAGTAAGATGAGGTGTGGATTACAGAGCAATTGGGGTCTGGCTTGTAGGAGATGGGGAGGAAGGGGAAGAAAGATGAACAACAGGGGAAGAGAGAGAGAGGATGAGAAAATGTGGGGTGGAAGGGCTGAGGTATATACATGGAAGGTACATAAGGGTTTAAAGATAGAACTACACAACAGGGGGAGGGGCCCAGTGCAAGAATGCAACAAAGTTCTGTTCACCACTTAGCCCTTATACACCGCTGCCACATTTACTCTAAGAGGGTGGTTAACCACCTCTTTCTCAGGGAGTAGAAGAGGTGTGTGAACCAGGCAGAGAACCCGAAGAAGTCTGTTTGTTGTCTGTGACCTCCTGGCTTCCCTGTCAGTAGACCCTCCCTACAAACAAACACACGCACACACACAAGCAAGAATCTGACGTTGAAGCTTCACCTACTGAAAAACATACTGGCATGCTAAATTCTAACGAGTTCTAAGGAGCTCGTATAGTATAACCTCGTGCAAGCGAACGTGCAGTAGAGTAGTGCACAAATTTTGTAGGGCCAAAATTCTCAGACGGCTCATCAAAACATATGCGCAGTTAGCTCCAGCTCGCCAATGTAGGTGCCATACGCACTATTGACCAATCGTAATCAGAAAACGTGTGTGTCCTTATTGCTGTTGTCACTTCCTAGTTATGACTTTGAGATTGTGTCATGGATTCACAGGTTGCAGAAGTGGATTATAGCTATCATTGTTTTCTAGCCGCTCCATGTTTGTTCATTATATCACCTGTAAAGTCCGAAGACAATTAATTCCAAGACCAACTGTCTGACTCAATATTGAATAGCATAAATAAGGGACAAAGAAAACACAGAAAATAATATTTTTTGCCCTTTTTTAACAAAACAGTATTCATTGATTGATGATATCATGATTGTGAATTATGGTGATGCCATTGATTGATGATATCATGATTGTGAATTATGGTGACGCTATGGGTGGGCAAGCTGTTGTTTTGTCTTCATACACCTACTTTTTGTGTGTTCCGTTAAGCGTGGCATTTATAACATAGCTACATAGATGTGCTGCTGCAGTTCTGTGTGCAGCAATGTATCATCTTGGGCTAAGTCTACTGCCGTTGTTTCTAGTGTTTACAAGTCTCTCATATGTTGATGGGGATTGCTTTGAAGCCGCTCCAAATAACAAGGGCTACGACAACTGTGCCACCTGCTACCAGACGTTTTCCAATGCTATTGTCAACACGGAAGACAACAAGTTTCGACTCAGTATGGCATTCTTCCCCATTAACAACGCTCCGTCGGTACAAGTCCAAGTTACGTATCAGAGCGGAGATCCTACAACAAATACTAGTAGCAGATTTTTCTGGATAACTGGAGGATTCTTCATTTTTCAACCGCTAGAAGTCTTCCTATATCGTTCACTTTTCTTCTCGCCACCTACTTATCTCAAAGAATCTGTTACAGTTATTCTTCCTGAAACGTGCTTCGGAAATGACGTCTTCTTTGAATATGCTACTCAGAGGGTAAGACTGTGCGTTCTTAAAATGCGTTTGTTTAGTTTTTCACATTTAGCTGAGGGTTACGCTGAGAGTCAATCTGCTACCCCAGCTGTTGATGACAGTTATTTGGGAGTATCTGTGAGGGAGACAAATGCTAAAATCGATTTCTACTTGGAATATGCTGGTGATAGACTAATTGATGCTGCTTACATTGTACCATCTATGATCGTTTTTGCTGGAATAGTGGCTACACTTTTTATAGTTTGGTGCTGTGCTCCAATGCAGGAGACAGTGAAGACAGTTAAGGCTAGTGATTCCCTGCGAGCAAATATCATTGCTGCAATTTTACTTTGTGCTATTATAAGTGTCTTTTCTGCTGTATTGGATATAGTTTCATGTGTCAAAGATTTTAGTAATGATGATTTGCCAAGCTATTATGATAGGAGAATGGAGTTTGTGATTATAACCATTTTCTTATTGATATTTTATTCACTTTTCCTCATATTTGGAATCATTTTTGTTTGTTTTGAGCTAATCGCCGTTATTAAGTATAACCAAGCACACCAAGACGGCCAAGGACCCCCAGTGAACCAAGACGGCCAAGGACCCCCAGTGAACCAAGACCAAGGGCCCCAAGAAAACCAAGACCAAGGGCCCCAAGAAAACCAAGACCAAGGGCCCCAAGAAAACCAAGACCAAGGGCCCCAAGAAAACCAAGACCAAGGGCCCCAAGAAAACCAAGACCAAGGACCCCAAGAAAACCAAACTCTTGAAAATTTCAAAGCTAAGTGTACATCAACTTTATGTCAATTTAATGATGGGCATACGGAAAGAATTATCATTATTTGTGTATTTCTTGCGGGAGTGCCGTTTTAGCGTTTATGGCTCATTTCCCTAGCATTTTAATGGCTTGGGCTACTAATCCATTTTATGCCTCAAAAGTTGCCTTGTTTTATGGTATCATTATATTTAGCTATTTTACATGTTTTCCATTACTCTTTCATTGTATCAAGCAAGGCTGCATCTGCCTTTAAGAAAGCATTTGGCATAAAGAGCAAAATGTATGTTTTGGTTCCTGTGTCACTTTTTATTACATTCATTGCTGTAACTGCAGTAGTGTGTCTGATAACTGTGTTCATAGTTACTGTTCCAGTCAGTAATTCAATTGAGACAGCAACAGACGGTATTAGTTCAATCTATAATGGTGCTGTTGTTCTTGTTGGTGGCCTCCTTGCATATAAAATCGGATGGCACTATGTTGGCCACAATTTCTCGGCCTCAAATGCCCTGGAGAAAGCCTTGAAGAATTTATTCCCTTTGCCAGGAACAAATAAACTACCAACTGATTTGGAGAAATGTACAGAAGAAGGAAAATTGACTGAAATTATGAAAGCAATGATACATGACGAACTTACGAAGAGGAACTTGAATGAAAAATAATACTTTAGACCTAGAAGGCTTGGATTGCAATAGTTTACTTATTTAGTACCAGTTATATTATATTAATTTTTTCACTTGTTTTCACGGCATATCTCTTGAACGCAGTCGTTTCAGGAAAATCGCCTAAATACTTTTAGTGTAGTTCTGAAGACGTTGGTATCACTTACGGGGGCCGCCTCGTAGCCTGTAGTGCGAGAATAGCTGCTGACAGACAGGACACACACACACACACACACACACACACCATCTTTACACTTGTGAGTATCACTAGAGTAAAATACATCACCCAGGACACTAGAGTAACAAGCCCACTTCCCCCTTAGGAAATTCCATACCTATGACATCACAACTCCCTATAAATACCCCACTGTGCATTAAGTCCCCCAGAGAGCCTAAGGTATGTGATTGTCAATACCGTACTGTAAGCTGTAGATTTTGCACAAGAGTCTGTGACATTGGATGTGTGGGGAGAGTTGGCTAGCCATCAAAGATCTTTAACCCACCGTCCCCAGTTCTCAAGGCTGGGCATCCACGTCCTGCTCTTTGTGTTTGTATGAGTGAGAATGTGTAATTACAATGTGATAGGCTAGGGCTGCACAAGCACAACACACTGAAGCAGAAATGGGTATATACCCTGGTAATTCTAAAAATACATGTAATTTTGACCACTGAGCTGCCACCTGTAGTGAAGTTGACAAAAGTCTCCCAGCCTCTGGTCTCATTGTGTTTGTGTTTGGTCACTTTCCTTTCTCCCCGATCACCCCAACAAAACACACACACACACAGCGACAGAGATAGGTACAGTAAAAAGAGAAATAAAGAGGAACTCTCCTCTAAAGACATCACTGGTGGACACACATCTCTATAAGACATTCCCCCAAGAACAGTTCTTGCATGAACTTTAACCCCCTCAGATCAGCATTATGGACACTGTTTCATTCCATTAGTGAACAGATCGGAAATGGCAGCCCCAGCAGTGTATACAGAATTTATAAAAGAGAGCTACTTACACATGTGTATATAGTTAGTACCGTTGTGTATAGAGTCAAAGAAGAAGAGTATAGATAGATAGAGAAGAAGTGTGTGCAGCAAGAGAGAGAGAGGCAGACAGACAGGGGTCTGGAAGAAGATGGAATCAGACTAACTTTCTCTTCGGTCCGGTTGTCTCGACGAAAGAGATTCGACTCACTTCAAAGAACTTAGCCTGTGTGTGATAATAAAATATACAGACAGACATCCACGAATGAAACACGTGGCTCAATTGAATGGGTTGGGCCACCCGGGGGAAAAACTACATCTTGTGACCGGGAAAAGCTTGTGGCTGTGTAGCACACATTTAAAGTTCCTATACTTAGTTTTGGTGGTTTGGTGTAGTCCAATCAGATTGCAGCTGTCATGTGATTATATATCATGTCAAATTTATGAGACCCACACAAGTATTAGCACACACACGCAATGGGCCTAAATATGATGTTGGGCCACCCGGAAAAAACTACATCTTGTGACTGTAGCACACATTTCCAGTTCCTATACTTAGTTTTGGTGGTTTGGTGTAGTCCAATCAGATTGCAGCTGTCATGTGATTATATATCATGTCAAATCTATGAGACCCACACAAGTATTAGCACACACACGCAATGGGCCTAAATATGATGTTGGGCCACCCGGAAAAAACTACATCTTGTGACTGTAGCACACATTTCCAGTTCCTATACTTAGTTTTGGTGGTTTGGTGTAGTCCAATCAGATTGCAGCTGTCATGTGATTATGATGTCAAATCTATGAGACCCACACATTGTTGTTTGTGTAAACTGTGTACTCTCATTACTGTGTACTCATTAGTCATTACCTGTACTCATTAGTCATTACTGTGTACTCATTGATTTTTCACACTCCAGACAATGGAGAGGTTTTACATGTCAGGCAGTGCCCAGACAGGACAGCATTCACACTCATGCTGTCCTGTCTGGGCACTGCAACATTATACAAACATATACATACACACATACGGAAATTGTGCATTCAAACAGACTGTAAAACTGGTTGAGTCACTCACAGTGACAGGATTGGGTCTGTCGGTTTCGTCCCTCAACACAGCATCCAAGAACTCCTGCACTTTTGGCACCTGAGTCTGCAATTAAAAAGTGGCACTGTATATACCAAGAAGATGCAGGAATAACAATTAAATGTGTGGGCATGCACAGAAGGCACTCACACTCATGGGGCTTCAGTTATTTGCACTTCAAACAGATTAACTTCCTGTTTGTACTGATGTGTAATTAACCACTGCAACCTAGGATACTATCATAGATGGCAACTTGCCAATCTAGGATAGTATGCTATAATAGCTGGCAACTCTGCAATCTACAAGCTTGAAGCAGCGAAATCCAGTAAACTGTGGACGCAGAGAAATCCAGTAAACTCTATCTTGAGCGCACATTAATACTGCAGGAGAAGGCTACATTGCTGTAGCTACAAAGGATTCACAAGTACGTGAACACGCAAGCTGAACACAAAGCTTGCCTGGCTGAGCTCTATACGAAGACAGATAGCTCACTTTGAGTCCTGTTTGTCGACTGACATTGTAGTCCTCAAGATGGGGCAGAGACTCGCTATCATCTCTGGATGGAAAGAGAGAGCGTGAGATGAGATGAACTTAACCCTCCCACTCCCCTTACTTGGTTTTACACTCCCTCTATTCCCTATGGCTTTATCGCACGCAGATAGAGAACTACTGGCTCGCACGAGTCCCCGCCCTGCCGATCCCGCGCTCCCTGCCCTGCTTTCTCTCTCTTTCTCTCCCTCTTCCCCTCTCCTTCCTTCTTTCTCTCTCTTTCCCTCCCATCTCCCTCTCCCTCTCTTCCTACCCTTTCTTCCCCCCTCTCTGCCCTCTACTTCCTTTCTTCCTATCGTCACTCTCACTATTCCTCTCCCCCTTCCCCCTCTCCTTCTCCCTTAGTTCTCTCCCTCTCTGTCTCTAAACGTACGTAAGCTCTTGACGAAGTGACAGGACCTCTCTGTAGTACTTGCTGATGGTCCACTTGAAATGACCATGCTCCAGAGTAATGACCAGTCTGTGAGAGATGGGATATGTAACTGAAATGAGTCAGTAAGGTGCAATGCACACTTCATGCAGTACAGGACTGATTCCATTGTCAACTCCCCTACAACAAAACTCAAGGTTGTAGCACTATCTGTGGTTACAAGAGCATGCACTAAATTGCCATCAAATTAGATCTCTTAACTGTGGCCTGAGTTAAAAAGTGGTTCAGCATAGGCAACTATAGTACCAAGGGGTAAGTCGGGCCCTTCTATTTCGACTAATGCCCAAGTACTATATACTACAGGCTAAGGTAACCAGTGACGGACAAGAAAGTAAGCAAAATAATTTTAAAAAGTGTAGGGTATACACACTCTGGGAAATAATCGTGGTACATACTCTAGCAGTTCTCTAACCAGCCTAGTCTTGTGAACCAGCAGTATTATATGTAGGAGGGGAATCCCCATTGCCCAAACTTATGCGTGTCACGAATGAAAAGTACAGTTTGGTTCACGAGACGACAGTAGTCCACTGACCGTGGTTTACTGGTGAGAGACTCAATGATAGTTTCATTGTCATCGTCCAAGGCCGTCACAGTCACTACCACTGACGACTGTGGTAGGAATGGATCGACCTCTGATCCCGGCTTGTACCCGTGGACATCCCGCAGCGGAATGACTGGGACTGAGGAGTGGGGAGAGGGACACAGGGAGAAGGACAGGAACAGGGAGGAAAGGGAAGAGAGGGGAGGGAGAGAAACGGAGGGAGAACTTTATTACGTAGCCTGAGGTTGTAGATATGGGGATGAAGTAATGCACGTGTGTGTCAGCCTCATCCACGGTTGCAAAACTGAAGCAATTGGCCTTACCATAATAATATGGCGACAGAAGCTGTCTCTGTACGTATGACAATAGAACTGCAAGCGTGTTGTACATACGAATAGCGTGGTTAGCTTATACATTCGCCAGGACTAAAGCTCTGTAGCTGTGAACTCTTCAACCCTATTGCTCGGGACCAATGTTTGATGTTAGGACCACTGTCTGTTTGATGACACCGTGTAATAATACTGCATGGTCTATCCTACGAAATAGCTATTGAGCAACGAAGCAAGTCTCCTTCCGCACTTACCCGAAGTTACTGCATGATTATGCATACGCCACCGTTTGAACGTCAAGACACAGGTTTGTCATGGAGTGTATATCGTAATTAGCTATAAAAACCTGGGAATGTGGAAAAACGTTACCTTCTTTATCTCCGTTATCAAACTCCGGCGCAACGGTAACCGAGACGGTTACATCGTTTGTGTCCGCCATCTCTGCGCACAACGCCTGTAAGTCCACCCGTTCTGCGTACGCTATGGCGCGACCAGTCCGCCAGAACTGTACAGGAACTTTCGTGGACCGGTCCAGAGCGTAGTTTCGCGCATGCGCACCCACGTGTAATTGCGCATGCGCATACCAAGTATAATTATAAGTATAATTATAGGCATCCTGAAGTCCTTGGCTATAGCTGGAATGTGCAATGCAAATAACCGTCCGGAGTTACAGACGTAGGTATAATAATAGGGATGGTGTCATGCAGCTTTGTGTGTATTAGCTGTGTGATTACCCCTTGTTTCTTCTTTTTGCATGTTTTGAGCCATGCCTATATATATCCTCCTTCATTTTGAAGAAATGTTTTTTACTTGTCTAACAATCAAATAGTC